GGTATGAAAGCGTGAATAGACGGGTGCGAACGGGAAATAGACGACTAGGCACGGAGGGATTGAACGGGTGTGGGGGGGGGGAAGGGGGTGGGTGGGGGGGGGAAAGGTAAGTGGGGTAACAGCCAATCTGCAAATAGGATTAATCAACGCAGTAGCGGAAAACGACGAAAGAGACTGCATACGCAAAGATCGACAAATGGACCAAAAATCCGCACCTGGTGCTCAAAGAAATTGTAATCAAGGTAGCGGTCAAAGCGCTTGCGGAAGGGAATGTCCGTCTGCTCCCACTTGACGGAGTACGTGAACTCCAGGTTCGTTCCGGGTGTCACGGGACGAGGCGACTCCGACGTCAGGTTCACTTGAATGATCTGTCATGCGCGATATATACAGATTCGTGAAATCGAACATGTTGAAATAATGCCCGGGATGACGCTCGGGTTATCGGATTACTCTCGAATTCAGACGTGAAACAAATACCTCACGACGATATGCATGCTAGAATTTGACAGTGACGAAATTATGGCAAAATTGGAGGGACTTGACAATGGCGAAAAAATGGCGAAACTCGTACTTGATCGCCATTGTAATTAATGTCGAAGCTCTTGTGGGTGTAGATAAAAATCTGCTCTTCCGCTGTCGACGCACCGTCGGCCTTCTCAGTAGCAGGAGGGACCGATTCTCCAACAAATCCTGGTTTCACAAAAAGAATCCGCATCCGTCAGGCAACGAAATATGTCATTATGCAGCATTCGAATAATGAGCTGGTGGTTATTGAGAAAAACTTACCCCAGATCGGCAGGTCATCTGCACCAGCACAGAGACCAGAACGAAAAGAAGCATAACGGAACAACGATATCAGAATTAGGTTAAGAACCAGCGGCTTGAGAAACGGAAGAACGGAACTGAAATCCACTTCTGGAGACATTAACTTACCCATGAAGAGCTCGTACCAATAGTGGTTCTCAATAGAATACTTAAACTTCTTCGCCGTGTCCTCCTTCAGAGTGTCTGAACAAATAGTCCGCTTCGGCATGTCCACTGGTGAACAGATAATGTCTCATTAGTATGTCAGTAATAGAATTTCTAGCATGATTAAGAAGCAGTAAGTTGACTGGCGTACTTCGGAACTTAAACTCCATCTGTGAGTCAATAAGCTCGTTTCCCTGGAGCACCTCTCCCAAGCCACCCCATTTATGCTCGGCGCGCTTCGAAGCTTGAGGCTTGCAGAATGGCAGCTCATAGTAGTTGTATGTTTCTTGCGGATTGTTGTACGGACCGACCTTGTTCACCCAAAGCCTTACTGGATCTCCGACCGTGTACTGCAAACGACAAGATCCGAATCGTACGGTAAAAATCAGATAAATCGCCCGTAATTGATCTAACGATCTCTAAGAATGCATGTTCTGGACACTGCCTGGACCAGATCAAGACACCGCGACCTATACCTAGTCTCACCTTGTGAGTGTATTCTGTAGCAGCACAACACTGCAGAAACAACGCGATCGCAAGAAGCGCGAGTACGCGATGGGAATCCATCGCGACAAATTAGTGTTCGTCAAGCAGGAATCCAACACCACCTACTAAGTAATCGACCAAGCAGGCGGCGACGACAGATCTAGGATCTACTAACTTGCGAACCTAGGGATGCGAGAGAAGCAGGAGGAACAGCATTGGCGGAGTCGCAGCAGATGCAGAGTAGGTTCATTCAGCAGGAAGCGGCGGAAGACATGGCGGAAGGTGGAAGCGGGAGGGTGGAGTAGAAGGGGGAAGCTGCAGAGGCTTCAGAAGGATTTAAAATCGGTGTGTTACGGTCTACAACGATAATCGGTGGAAGCTGGAAACTCACCGTGCTGAAACTCACTGAACCACAGTCAAACGTGCGAACATTCCCTAAGTAACAGTGGAATGATGCGGTGGGTGAAGGTCGTTTGCGGAGATCCGCTTTTGGGGTTTCCGCGGTAGGAGTCGCAGATGGTACCAATGGGGAGAAACCGAGGTCGATACGTACGCACGTCTTGCGCTATGAAAATCATTGTGTAGTTCGAAAATCCAATGGATTCCTGTATTATAGCTTTCATCTAGGTGCTAATGCATAAACTATTATCACCAGAATTGGTATCCATCGCACATTTTGGCCCTTAAAACACAGAAATCATGGAAACAGTACCAAAATGCCATATACCATATCCCCATCAATGTAGTTGTTTATTCTATGCAACAAGCGTTTACTACCCAAGCCTTTCATCTCACTCATGATAGTTCAGCCCATTTTTTAGTGAATTTGTTATTGAATTCTTGTATAAATACCATTGAACCCTACAATAGTTTTACCCTGCTGTAGAACACCTATGAAGCGGGTTTACCATAAGTTTTAGAAACCTTTGTGATGGACGTTCTGGTTCAGTTTGGTGGCGGGTTTTCTAGCTCATATACCAGAGCTGTCAATGTATAGTACAGTCAATGCCCAGCCATCACACATTTCCGCCGCGCTGGAACGCCCTCGTCCGATTTCCTGAGCTGGCTTGCCTGGGGACGGCGGTGGTGAAGCCTCACGTGTGGGTCATCCTTCCCAGGCTCCCTGCTATTGGGCCGCTTGCTGGCCAGGCGTGTGAAGTGATTTCATTCCAAGCCTGACTTCTAGGCATGGCAGTTTGGAAATTTCAAAGTTTTATGACTGCCCAGTGTAACCATGCTCGACTGTTTGTGAGGTTTCCAAACAAACAACAAACCAAGAGATTCTCCAAATCACAGATTTCACAAGCCACGTTTGCACCAATCGCTGCAAAATCCGAACCACATCAAGCCGAACCGAGTTGGATTCGTGCGTGCGTCTTCTGGTTCCGCTGGACGAGCAAGCCGACAGCAAGGTCCTTGGGATCATATCGTTGGATTCCCAGTGCGAGTGGACGTTTTTTTGCTGTGGAACAGCGCACTAGCATCACCCCCCTGCTGCCCTTCATGGCTGAGATAGTGTCCACGCGTTCCTCAAATCAAGCTCACCAACCCAAGTTCTCACGTCCCTAGTCAGGAACACCGCCTCTTTCACTTCTAGAATAACCTATTCTCCTCGGAATCTCGACAGCCTTCTTCGAGTTGCCATACATCTCAGACCTTTTCAATGGTTCACGCTCAAGGTCCTGCTTCTAGCTATCAGTCGCAATACTACCAGCCAGCTATTACTTTGATGGAGGAGGAAACGGAGCGGCTAAGTGGTGGTAGGGCTGGCAAGTGGTCGAGGTCGGCTGGAGCCCATAGGTGCCTCTCAGATTCTCGCGCTACTGCTTCCGACATTTCCCCTGTTTCGTCACGCGAAGAATCTGCGCCGCGCCACGTTCCTGACATGTTTTCTCGCCGTAAGCTGTGTCTTCTTACGAAAAATGGCTCACTGAATGATGCTACTAGGGTTTCGCAGCGACAGGTCCGATCACCAGGAACTTCTGGTCACGCGTCAATGCAGCGAAGCCTTTCGGGGGAAAGGAACGGCTATCGTTACAATCGTTTCTATTCAGACCCACCAGCTGAACTCCCATTGGCTGGCGACGGATCACATGCTGTGCTGCGTGGAACCAGAGACGGTGTTAATCGCGCGAGCGGCCTCCGTGACGTCAGCATGCGGGGATCTGGTAATATTGTTACATCAATGGGTGGGCCAAGTGCTTTGCTAAGAGTGGCGGAAAATGGAAGTATGGAAGGTGTGTCTGCTCAGGAGTCTAAAACCGGCTTTGCAGCGGCTTTAACATGGCAGGCCAAAGTGGCGTTCGGTGTGCTTCTCCTGCTACTGCTGGTTGTGCCAATGCTGCTGCCTAACCTAGGAGCGCCTCCAAGTGCTATTTTGCTGCTGCCTGTTGTGGTGATGCTGTTGCTTGTGGGCCTAGCTGTTTTGCCTTCATCTGCAGTTCCAACTATAAGTTCATATGGGGACGCTGCTACTGTATGCTTATAGCGTTTCGTGGCCCTGATGTAGTAGCTCTCCACTAGTAGGTCTGGTGCACTTGTAGCCATATTACTACTTGGCCATGTTGTGAGTCTGGTTTTGAGAAGTGCATTGGATTAGTGGATTTCTTCAAAATGAACTGTAAAACTGAATTTCTTGAGGGTACACTTTCTCCCTCGTCTCAAAACTCACCGCAACACCCGGCACTGGTGGTCAAGCCATCAACGACCAGACTCGGCGGAAGGGGCTCCCATTCAACCAATAAGCAACGCGCGTGGCGGACCATGTTGCCCGCCTGCCTGTCAGGTTCGCTGGCAGTGCTGGGGGTGAGAATCCCGTACGCCAGAAGATCTGCTGTGCCTTCGAACCCCTCTCAATCCCACCCCAAGCCTCTACACCAGCTGTTTTCGTCCCCTTGATCCCCCAATCACCCAGCGCCCCTTGTCAGCATGCTCAGATTCACAGGTGATACCACTATAGATCGCAAAAAAACGAACCAGACCGTGACACATCCTCATTGAAAACAACGCGCTCCCGATCTGCTTTCGGATGGTGTGCGGCTGGAAGGAAGCTTTTTAGGGGTTCGCGTTCAGTGCTTCAGACGGTCTTTGCCTTGTTAGACAATTATTGGTGCTTCTGGAATCTGGAGCGGAAACCCAGGGAGCTTGAGCGGGCCTTGCGGGCGTTCATTCATCACGAGGGATGCGCATGGCGATGTCAAGCGTCCGAGACTTTCAGCGTCGTCGTTGGGAAGAGCTGGTTTTGGTTTCATTGAGGTTGTGTTCCGATTGTCGGTCCATGAAGCTGTGTGCTAGTCTGCTCTGGAGCTACTCAGGTTGCTGCTTTCGTAGTTGAGGAATCTGGTTCTAGCTTTTCTGTTCAGCTACCTCGCCGATGCTCGCTATTCGAGAAGGCTTCGTTCCTCGTAGTGGCTGTTGTTTAGTGTATAAATCTGCCTGACTGTTTCTTTAGACGCGACCAGCGTTGTTCGAGAACATATCACCATTCCCCTCCGGGTGGTATCATTTTCGCGTAGCTTTCGTCTACTCGTTGAAAATAATAAAAGATGGATTCCCGGTTGTCGGACCTATCGAAGGTAATCACGGCGAGATTGGAAGAACGTCGCTCTGGTTACTACGACGTTTCTCTCGTTACAACTTCCCTCGTTACAATGTTGCATTGAGACTCAATCCCTTGGTTTCGTTCGCAGTGGCCGTTGGATTTCCTATGGTGCACCGACCAAGACTGGACAACGGAAAGCATGCCGTCTGATTCCGCCATTGAATCCGCTCTCAAGGTACTTACTAGCATATCCGTATCACTAGCTTATCCGTCCGCATGAAACTTGTTCAGGCGAGCTCGTGTCTTTTCCTGAACATGATAAAGAAGGCGTGCTTCTGGTGATGCAGAGAGACGACGAGCTGCTGAAGATTCACGCGGAGTTCGTCCCGGTGATGCTCAGCCACGAGGAGTTCTGGAAGCGATACTTCAGGACAGTCGACGCCATTGAACGCTACCCGGGATGGACCTCCGACCAAATGGTAGGTCGTTCACTTCCAGGCGATGCGTCAGCTTCTAGGCCTCCAATAAACGTCAGCTTCATGGCCTCCGATACGTGACGTCACCTGCATGGTCCCCAATACACGTCAGCTTCTAGGTCTCCCGTATGTGAGAGATTCTAAGCTGTATGCGAAATTCGGCTTTGCAGGAACGGCAGATCAGGTCAGCGAGTCAGGCGCTGCAGTACTCTCTGAAGAAGCACAGCGTCTTGGACAACGTCGCCAGCTGCGCGCCGAGTGCTTTCCTCCTGCAAAACCTGGCAAACGCCGTCCGGTCAGTTGCTATCTCTGGTTTTTTTCTCTCTCTCTCGGCCAGTTGGCTTAATATTTGTTACATGCAGTTATTTATTTCTGTATCTTATGGGTGTCTTTGCCTCTACAGTGACACGGAACCGTACACATCGGTGAAGGAGCTAGCGGACAGTATATATTCTCCCTCTGGCGTGTTGTTCCGTGCGGTTGAGAAGACCTTCAGCGGCTCCTCATGGCTGCCTGTTGCTACCACACCGGAAACACCGCCCATAGAAGCTTCCCTCTCGGATTGCTCAAACGAGGACGCGGTTCGGATTCTCTTCAAATCAGGTGCCTTGACACCGAGCCATAACATGTTTTGTTATCCATCCACCTTCTTTTCCTGAACAGCAGTTCCTGCAAAGGTTGACCAGCAGTTCCTTCCAAAGGTTGTTTGTTTCCTGCTAATGCTCTCATTCTCCCTTTGTCAGGAATAATTAATGTCTTTACCCTTATAAGCAACTTTTTTTTAGGATTATCCTAAACCTGACACACGTGCAATCCACGCATTCTCCCGTGCTGCTAGCAGGGGAAATGGATGCGTTCACCTGCGGCTGCTGGCGTGCCTCACAATAAACGGAATCTTTCTCTCGCTTGGCGTTTGTTCTCCCATGCTGCTAGCAGGGGAAATGGATGCTTTCACCTGTGGCTGCTGGCGCGCGCTCACAAACTTCTCCCCCAACTCCAACCACTACTCCTCATCCAACGGCTCTCATCTCTCCTCATCCAACGGCTCTCAGCTCTCCTCATCCAACGGCTCCCCGATAAGCAACCACGGCTGCTGCTTCCATGAAGCTGACCTGGACCAGGACCGGATCTCCCTCCCTCCCCTCCGCGAGATCTCTCTCAGCAACGCATCTGGGCCGTTGAAAACGCCACCTGGATCGCCATCAACGGCGTGTGGTTCACCTGCTGGGTCGTACGGAAGGGTGGTGCTGAAATCCCTGCACGGAGCTCCTGCTGGGAGTCTGGCGGTTCGCCTGGCGGAGCTGATGGCGGGTATTGGGTCGCCTGAGGAGATGGCTCGCCTGTGGCTCGAAGTCATGCAAGAGGTGTGTGTGCAGGAGGTATTTACGCATGATGTATGTAAGCAAGAGGTATGCATGGGGTATGTGTGCAAGGATGCATGAGGTGTTTTTGCGTGTGGTATCCACGCATGAGGTGTGTGTGCATGAGTTATGTTAGCGGAGAGGGCAGAAAGCAGCGGACCCTGTATCTTTCATGCCTTTGCAGGAGGAAACCAATCATATGCCCCACGGACTCCCCATACAAATGGCAGATTCGGAATCGGTGGGAGGAGGGCATCGTTTGCAGACAGGGAGGGGCCAGATGTAGGGGTGTGTGGCGTGCTGCAGCAGTGGCAGGTGCTCAACTGTGCCGTTGCCAGGAAGCGATGGCGCAGGGCACGAGTCAGCAGCAACATTCAGAAGCACCTGCAGCACGATTCGGCTGGCAGCTCCAGCACCAGAAGAAAACAGACTTTTTCCCCTTCTCACTCCTCACCAAAAGCTTCCTTTCCCATCCCTTGCCAACTCCAAACTTATGTGGCAGGTTCGGGATCGGTGGGAGGAGGGCATCGCCATACCGCATGTGTTTGCAGACAGGGAGGGGCCGGACGTGGGGGTGTGTGGCGTGCTGCAGCAGTGGCAGGTGCTCAACTGCGCCGTTGCCAGGAAGCGATGGCGCAGGGCACGAGTCAGCAGCGACATTCAGAGACACTTGCAGCAGCAGCAGCACCTGCAGCAGCCGGACTGCTTCCAATTCTTTTCGGAAACAGCTGCTGGGGATTTTGGAGATTTCGGGAGGTTTGAGCCGGCGCTGTGCAAGACGTGCGGGAGTTATAATCTGTCAGAAGTGCTGCTGGAAATACCGCTGGAGTCACCGCCATGTGGTTCGCCCAAAGGCGGATCGCCCAGACGTTTTGCTGAGGAGAACGGATGTGCGCTGAGTGAGCAGAACGGCTCCTGCTCCTGGGCCTGCTTCCCCGACGCATCTGAAACAGCTGCGGCAGAAAAGTTTTCTGACTCAACAGGGACCGAGACTAAGACTGGGTTTCCTTCCATAGGGCGGGCAGGAGAGGAATCTGGCAGCGAGTCAGGAGGGATGCGGCTGCTGGTGACGGGGGCGCGCATGTGCGTGCCAGAGGTGCAGGATGGGCCACTGGTGACGAGCTTGTACCTGGCAGAGATGGAAGAGGCCATCATGCACACGGGCAGCCTCAGCATCGCTCACAAGCGGCTCTTCTCCGACATGCAGGCGTTCAAGGTGTGTGGTGGGGGGAGGGGAAACGTGGTTGCTGGTGACGGGGGTTACCATGTGCGTGCCAGAGGTGCAGGATGGGCCGCTGATCACCAGCATGTATTTGGCAGAGATGGAAGAAGCGGTCATGCACACGGGCAGCCTCAACATCGCCCATAAGCGACTCTTCTCCGACATGCAGGCGTTCAAGGGGGGAAAACGCGGTGCAAAAGGGGGGAAACGCGGTTGTTGGAGATAGGAGGTGGTGCAGGATGGAATGGGCCGCTGATCACGAGCATGTATCTCGCACAGCTGGAAGAGGCGGTCATGCACACCGGCAGCCTCAACCTTGCTCACAAGCGGCTCTTCTCCGACATGCAGGCATTCAAGGTACGGTTGAATCACTTGTGAAGCTACACCCGCTGGCTTGGCAGTGTGAGGAGGTGGTGGTAAGGCAGGGGCATGCGGTTGCTGCTGACAGGATGGGCCGCGTGAGATGAGTCGATTTTTTAGTCGACTCAAAAATCGACTCATCTCACATGGGCCGTTGATGACGAGCATGTACCTGGCAGACCTGGAAGAGGCGGTCATGCACACGGTCAGCCTCAGAAGCGACTCTTCTCCGAGCATGTGCGATGGCCCGATGTGGCCCGAAGAGCTCCGACCATGAGATGTTGAACTTGCCATGCTGACCGCTCCAAAGCCTGCTGACTCATGCCTCGATGAAGGTGAGCATAGTTGTGTCTCTGCGTTGTCTTCCCTGTGCAGGCTGCGAATCCTGGGTGCATATTGGAGGACTTTGTGCGATGGTACTCGCCTGCTGACTGACTGGTGGCCAATGTCTGTGCGATTTTTGAGGCGCCTCAAAAATCTCTTTCCCTTGCCATGTGCTTTTTACCACCTGTGCAGGCTGCGAATCCTGGGTGCATATTGGAGGACTTTGTGCGATGGTACTCGCCTGCTGATTGGTCGAGTGATGCACCTTCCACCAGAATGGGAGGCGGGGGAGCAGAGGGAGGAGCGGGAGGGGATGCGGGAGGGGATGCGGGAGGGGAGGATCACGAGTCTAATGACTCGAGTGATGGAGACCGCTGTGAGCAGGGACAGGGAGCGCGCAGCAAGGCTGGATACCTGAGCGCTCGCATGTCCGGCCCAGGTGCGTAATCCCCACCGTGTCTTCACTTAACCACAGGCCCACGTGCGAGCGCTGCACCTGAGCACACGCATGTCAGGCGCAGGTGCATCTGTGCGCAGCACAGAGAAAGAGAGGTACTGACCTGAGGGTCATACATGACAGGGCCAGGTCTGCCTTTGCTATGAGCTCTCACACGAGCTCCGCACGGCGTGAGGTGTCTGGGGCGCAGGGGTGCTGCACTGTGCAGTCAACTCACTACATTATTGTGCGTGTGTTGCGCTTGCTTGATATTCGTATTGGGCTGGTAGCAGGTTCAGGCTGTTGTAGCGGAGTGAGGTAGCACACCAAGCACGTGTGGTGCAAGCGTGGGTGGTGACAGTTAGCTCCTTCACGTGTGCTGCAACCGTGGTAACAGCTTGCTTCTTCACTATGGTGGTGCAATCGTGGGTGGTAACAGCTTGCTCCTTCACGTGTTTCTTCATTTCTTTGTGCAGACAACAAGTGGAGGCTGTATTGGAGCGAAGCCAAGCCCGTGCCAGCCCTGCTGCAGCCCCCTCTCTTCGATGAATGCGAGGCTGGGTGAGTGCTCCCATGCGCCATTGTTCAGTAACCTAAACAATCTCTATTGAGGCGAAGTTAAGCCCGTGCCAGCCCTCCTGCAGCCGCCTCTCTTCGACGAGTGCGAGGCCGGGTGAGTGCTTTGCTGTTGCCCCAGAACGCCTTTGGCTGTGCTTTAATTTGCAGGGTGTTTCTGAGAGCCCTGCAAAGAGAGGTGAGTGTCTTGAGAGCCCCCCAGAACACCCTCCTGCAGCCGCCTCTCTTCGACGAATGCGAGGCTGGGTAAGTGATGTCCTATAGCACCTACTCACCTGTTGCCCTTTCTTCGTCATTATCACCTCAAGTTACAGGGTTCAGGCCCTTTTTTCATCATGTCAGATGGCCAGCACACGTTTCGAATAGAGGCAGTGTTAATAGAACTACTTTCAACATAAGTTCTAAAACTTTCCTCCTTTGAACGTGGGTGTTCTTCTAACGGTCAACAGGGCAAGGAGCTTGGAGTATCTGGAGAGCATCAGTCCATCAGAGCTCTTGTGTAGATTGCTTTTAAGAATTCTCAGAAACAATTCCTGTGCTCCCCTCTTTTCACTCGGGCTGTTCTTTGAACGGTCAACAGGGCAAGGAGCTTGGAGTATCTGGAGAGCATCAGCCCTACAGAGCTCTTCATTCAGCTCTTCACCTGCCTTGTAAGCTCTCTTCACATCATAGCTCTCACTGCATTTTGCCCAAGTCTTCACCTGATTCGGTGACTGGAATGGCATTACGAGACAAACCAAAGCTCAACTCTTCACCTGCCTTGTAAGCTCTCTTCACATCATAGCTCTCGCGGCATGCCTCCTAGTCTGTCTGGTGACTAGAAAAGGTTATGAGACGCCCCCAAAAGCTTAACCCTTTGCTTCCCTTGCCTTGTATGCCTGAGTGGACGATTCTGTGAATACAACCGCCATACTCTCTTTTCCTTCTCCTTGCAACCACCCCAGGTGTCTGTGGGGTGCGCTGCAGCGCTTGAAGTCGCTCCCTTGGTGCGAGAGAGCAGCAGCAAGGCCCGATTGGACAATCAAGTCGATAACACTTCCATTCTCCCTATTCCTTTCTAATTCCAACCGACGCAGGTGTCTGTGGGGTGCGCTGCGGCTCTTCAAGTCGCTCCCTTTGTGCGAGAGAGCAGCAGCAAGGCCCGATTGGACAATTAGGTTCATGAAACTTCCATTCTCCCTATTCCTTTCTAATTCCAACCAACGCAGGTGTCTGTGGGGTGCACTGCAGCGCTTGAAGTGGCTCCCTTTGTGCGAAAGAGCAGCAGCAAGGCCCGATTGGACGATTCCGTGAAGTACATCTTGCATGCGTGCTCAAGGATACCTTGCATCATCTCTCACGTCTGAACATTGCAGGTGTCTGTGGGGTGCGCTGCAGCGCTTGAAGTGGCTCCCTCTGTGCCGGACGGCAGCAGCAAGGCCCGATTGGACGATTCCTTGAAGTACATCTTGCATGCCTGCGGGCGACACATGACACAGGACAGAATGCGTTACATCTGCATGGTGCGTTGCACGTGATACTGAGTTCCGATTCACATATGCATTGTTCATCACATTTTCCTCTGCAATGCATCATGCGAGGCAATGAAGCAGTCAAGTGGCCACGGGTCAATCCCTGACAAGTTTTTACGTACGTCTAAAAATATCCAACATTATCCCATCCTGTGCTTCCACCTGACCCTTGTGTCGCCCCGTTGTTCCTCTGCAGGTGTATGGAGCAATGGAGCGTATCATCTCTGACAACGCACAGTCAATCACTCCAGGAATCACCTCAACAACAACAGCACCGAGCTGTGCCGTTCTCAACTCCTCTGTTGCGGAAGGTATCAGGGACGTGGAGGGCTCTGATACCCTGAGTGCCTCACGTTCTTCCGGTATATCGCCCAGTGATTCTCCCGATCGCAGCAGCAGTGGCAGCAGCAGCAGCAGCAGCAGTGGCAGCAGCAGCAGCGGCAGCAGCAGGATCAGGGTGAGCGGTAGCAGCGGCAGCAGCACCAGCAGTAGTAGCGAGCATGGCGGCAGCAGCGACGGTAATGGCAGCAGCAGCCTTGTCAGTTGGGAGGATCCAGAGCTCTACACCCAGCAGACGCCCTCTGTGTGGAGCTATATGCATGACGGGTACACTGGCTTACCATGTGATGGGGATGGGGATGGGGATAGAGAAACTTTTGAGGCGGCTGAAGAGGATCCAGGGCACTTGAAACAGCAGGCGCCCTCTGTGTGGACCTACATGAATAACGGCTATGCTGGCCTACCGTGCAATGGGGGACCGGCAGGAGAGGATCGAGGAGCGCAGAGTCTGGACAACGAATGGAGTGCGGAGTTTGAGAGCGGTTGTGATAAGTCTCGGGTTGGTGGTGGGAGGGAGGGGGGGTGTGGCGAGTTTGGTGCTGGTCATAAGAAGCGTGGTGGTGTGGGGGGGGAGGTGGAGTATGGGTATGCTGTGGAGCATAAGGGGAGTGTGTTAGGGTTTCTGAATGGAGACAGCTCGGGGCAGTACCAGTGTGTAACGAATTCTGAGGAGGAGAGTGCACGAGCTTCCTGTGACAACTGGGCCTGCTTTTGAAGGTTGTCATGTAATCAAATGAAGGTGGGGAGTGTGATGCGGTTTGGGTAGATTGCGCAAGCTTCCTGTGACAACTGGGCCTGCTTCTAAACATTGTCTAGTGAATGTGGGGAGTGTGGTGGGGATGAAGACGGCTCGGGGGAGAGGGCAATGGGGAGGAGAGGGCACAAGCTTTCTGTGAGAACTGGGCCTGCTTCTAAACATGTCTAGTGGCGGTGGGGAGTGTTATTGGGTTTCTGAATGGAGACAGCTCGGGAAAGTACCGCTGTTTGAAAGGCACTGAGGAAAGGAGGCCACTAGTTTCATGTGACAGCTGGGCCTGTGTTTAAAGTGTTCTGTGCATCTTAAGTCTGATAAAGTCTAGTCTGCTGCAGATTGATGGCGCATGTGATGGATGGGTGCTGCCTGAATAGACCGATAGTCTGTGGAATAAGCTCCCTTGTTTGAGCTTGTGAGTTACCGTAAGTTTGCTAGCTACTGGATTACAGGATACAGCCTCCCTTGATATTTCTTCTCCGGATTTATATGAAGCTTCAAGAAGTGCCTGCTAACGTGCAAATCGATAACCTTACTATACAATACTAAAGTTATGTTTCAACAACGGGCGCAATGCAAAACACCCTAGAGCCGAGATCATCCACACTCATCCCTGCCTCCTCACACAACCTGAAAAACCCCTCCTCATCCTCCCTCGGGATTCTCCTGCGCCAACTCATCACAAAGCATGGTCGCCTCAACGCCACATCAGCAGCAACCTCCTCTCTTCTGCGCTGCTGCTTCTGCATTCGCTGCCTTGCATTCCCACCGCCCTGCTCACGCGGTTTTTCCTGTGTCTGCACTATAGGAGCAGCTGGATCAGCAACTATCCCCACTTCCTTCATGACAGCACCACCTGTGTTGGCAACTGTGGCACCTTCCATGCCTCTTGCTGCCGGTGCTGCTTCTGATGCTTCTGCTGCTGTTGCTGTTGCTGGTCCTGATGCTTCTGCTGCTGTTGCTGTTGCTGGTCCTGATGCTTCTGCTGCTGTTGCTGTTGCCTGATCACCTGCATCTGTTGCTCCCCCTGACTCCCCAACAGCCTCAGAAGCAGCAAGTCTTGTCAACGAACAACCTGCCTGCTCTCTCTCCTCAACCACACCACCTTCTTCCCCTCTGCCTCTCACAGAGGCTTTCCCTTGCTCTGCTTGGGAGGACTTCAGAGCGCCGAAGAGGAGAAAGCGGAGGGTCTTGACTAGGTTGGGATACTCTTTCACATCTGCAATCAAAGCATGGATCACATGGACCACAGATCACAGAGAGTGATGCGCATGGAGAGATGCGCACAAGATCACAAGACTTGTTGAGGAGCCCACAGAACTTCTTGACGAGATTGGGATACTCTTTCACGTTCAGTGAAGCAAGGGCAGAGCAGTGTGAAAGCACATATGACCAGAGAGTACACAACGTGAAACGTGAGATAACACACGGTAAAAGTTGACACACGAATCGACACTTACAGAGCAGAACATCACTTGCGATGATGACATCCCATGACGGCTGGCTGATGGGAAACGGTTCACCCCATGTGTCTGCATGCATTCATGCATACGTGTAGGGAAAATGGGGAAAAGTTTGTGCAGCTTGATTGACGTCTGGCAGGAAGGAGATGTGAAAGCTTGAGTAAGGAAAGGAAATGGGAGAAAGGTATATCGAGACACACAAAAAAGTCGGCTTTGGTGCTTATGTTGAGTGTGCTTTTAATCGATTGTGCTTACGTCGAATGTGAGGTAGTGGTTCGATGCCATTGGCCAGGCAGTTGTGGCGAATGTTGGCAGCAATGCTGGCATCGTTATAGTCACACGTGGTGATGTCACAGCCCATGGCCTTGCTCAAATAAATGGCCAGCGTGCCTGTCCCACTGCAAGCACATTCGTTACAGTCACAGCAGAGTTGAGCAACAAGATTCTAGGCTTTCAGGGTTCCAAAAGTAAGAACATCTAAAAGTAAGAGCATAAGCTGTGGTTCTATAAAAGGAAAGACGTCATAAAACAACTCACTTCCCAATCTTGAGAACTCTTGTGCCGGCCAGCACTTGTGTTCGGGCGGCAAGCCAATCAGCAAAGGATTGGAGATGAAAGGCAAACCAGCTCCAGCTAAGCCCTCCTCATCACAGCCCACTCACCTCCCAATCTCCAGCACTCTTGCTCCAGCCAGCACTTGTTGACGGGCAGCAAGCCAATCAGCGAAGGACATTGCGCCAGGCCAGAGCAGGTTGGCGTTGACCGGATGGAAAGAAAACTCCCTTATAAGCAGCTCCTGACAAAGGAATGGTGTCACGAGGTGTATAAGGGTAACATTAGGAGCAGTAAACAACAGGCCAGAGCAGGTCGGCGTTGACCGGATGGAAGGAAAACTCCCTTATAAGCAGCTCCTGATATGAGGCCAGCGCAACGAGGTGTAGAGAAATAAATGCAGAAAAGAAAAACAGAAGAAGAAAGAAGACAATCTATTGACACATTAGCAGCTTTTGAATGGGCCAGACGGAAACCCTAAATTCGAATTCCAAGACGAGAACCATTCAAATCCTAGCAATATTGCTCAAATTCTCCCCTCATCCCTTCCCTCCTCCCCCTTTTTCCCCTCCCCCTTCCCCATCTCCTTTCCGCCACTTCCGCCCTTTCCTTTCCCACAGACGCCCTCCCACCCAGCACAGCACACCTACCCCACCTTATTCCCGCTTTCCAGCCAGACGCCCCCCCCCCTCCCCACCCCCTTTCTTCCCTCTCTAATCCCCACCGTTCTCCCTCCCCCAACCCGCTCTTCCTCCATCCTATCCCCCCATTCTCCCCCGTCCCCCACACCCCCCCGTTTCCTCCTACCCTCACCGGAGCACACCTGTCCCCCCGGAAATTGATGCCGCCTCTCTTCATACTCCATTCCCTCTTCCGCCTCACCCGCGTTCCCCGCGTCCCCCGCGTGCGCGGCTCCCCGGTCGTCTCCCTCCGCGCTCCCATTCCCCCTTTCCCCTCCCCCGTCCGATCCGCCAGCTCCGCCACTCCGCTCGATTCCGCCCACCGCGCCGCCAGCTCCCGCGGTATTCCGCGCAGCACCTGAAAAGGGGAGGCAGCGAAATCGGCGACGGAAAGAAGTAACCTTAATGTGTCGCGAATCCACGTCGTGTTCCCTCGAAAGGTGACCATGATTTAGGGTTACTATTATCCGCCACCCTGGCACAGCTAACAGGTGTTTTGGCGAGAAAGAGAGAGAACAAAGACAAATAGAAATTTGGGAAATTAAGGGAATCATAATAGCGGTCAGCTTACGTGGCGACTCGTCATCGTCGCTGTCGTGTGCGAATAAGCTTCTGGCAGAGAAGATGGCGGGGTCCATGTCGCAATCGTCGCACGTATGCGTGCGATCTACAGTTCGCGCAATACCCAGGTCCTATGACAGCGACAGATTTTGAGTACGCAATATAAGTTGGTTCGTAAAGAGGAAGGCAGCAATATTATGCATATCACGTTTGCATAACACGAGAAATAAAAACAGATTCTGGGTTTTGATGTTTTGTTCAGTGCGCGATAGCTCCAGTAAAAAAATATTCTGGAGATTATTAGGAAGAACGTACATCATTTGCCTAAACGTTACTGGCGGTGCAACAACGCACCGCCTACACAGTATAACCTAGAGATCTAAAGTATTAGCCTTATTTTGGGCTTTCCGACTAGAGATGTATGTAGCTCCAACACCGTTGTTAGCAGCCACGTGTCCGCCGCCAGCTGTCTGAAATCCCTCGCCTGCCACTCCCGCTGCTGTATAGTAGCTCCGTTCCCCGGCTCGACACCTGCCAGTGTCTTAGGAGAACCCACTTTAAGCGTTGGTCTTAGGAGCCTTAGAAACCTTAGGAGCCTTTGGAGTCTTAGGGTCAGTCGTCGTAGGAGTCGGAGACTTGGTCGTCGGGGTAGTCGCGCCCGCGCCCTTGATAACGAACCCCTTAGGCTTCAACACGCGGGAAATTCCCTGCGCGACCACCGTCGGCTTAATGGAGATGTCCTTATCGAGGACAGCGGCGCCGATCTTCTCCATGCCGAACATTCCGACGCCCTTCTTCGTAGGGGTCAGCGAGATGGTCAAGCCGAGTGTCGTCTGAAGCTTCCCGCCAGATGCGGCGAGAGCCTGCAGCTGCGCGAAGGTGTAGGTGCCCTTGACGGCGTGGTATTTGACGACTTTAAGGAGGTCGGCGGTCGCGTACTGGGTGAGGTTGAATTCGTTAAGCGCCTTGTCGTTGGGAACGAAGATGGTCAGGTTCTGCTGCACGAGGCTCTTCAGCTGCGTTTGCTTCACTGTGGTTGGAGAATCGGGGAAGAAGGGATGAGAGTCAAACACCGAACTAGGGATAAGGGTTGGGGATGAGACGACGTCGCAATGTAAAGAAATTTTGTGCTCGTCGAGGCCATGTTGCGACGACTGCAGCCGTTTTTGACCTATTATTTTGGCATCACCTATGCCTTCAGATTGATAGCCGGGAATGACGGTGACGGTTCTGGAGAAAAACCGATCGTCAGCGAAACTGATGCGAAAATCGTGTAGGTGTACTTACGAATTGCGCCGACGAGCGATGCGAAGGCCTTGTAACCGGGCTTCGCCTTGACGACGGTGATCACGTCGTTCAGGTTCTTCTCGTAAATCGTCATCTTCGGCGCTGCCTCCAGGGGAGTAACCACCCCGACAACGAGGACCGCCAGAAGCGCGAGAGGTAGAAATCTGGCCATGGCGACGACGATGAAGTCTTTGGAAGGAAGAAAAAAAACACGGAATTGGACAAGGAGCGGAAATCCAAATATGAATCTGCGGCAGAAGCAGCTGTAATGACTGGATTTAGCTGGAGAGCTAAGGGATCAAGAACTGGGTGGACTTGCGACCTTAGCTGAATGACTACGGTGTAATGTTCACGGCTATTTGAACATACGAGATTCTTGGGGACTACCTCCTGACGGACGGCGGTGAGGGTGAAATTGCGCTGAGCGTGATTGGAAACCGAAACCAAGGAAATTCGCGCGGCACCAGCTCCACGCCTCCAGCTTTTTCAATGCGCGGCTCGAAATATTTTTCGGTTTGGCGAGTGTGTGGGCTTTGGGGTCGCCGTCGTGGTTTGGTTGTGGCGGTATTCTCGAAACGCGAACTGTTCGGGCTTTCTTCGCTAGGAGCAGACTCCACAGTAATGATTTATATTCATTACATGTATAGTGCATAGAAGGCAAGTCCCTAAAGAGTGTGAATAAGGCTCGGGAAATTGAAGTGCTCTATTCAATCATTGAAAAATTTTGTGTTACGTACTCTCAGAATTATGTAGTTATTGTTGATCAGAAAGGGCCCCACTCTCGCGTGGGCGAAGCCGACTTTGTTGATGGCTAGGATTCATGGTCAACATTGACTTGCCGAGACGGCTTCGGTGGTGGTCCTACTTCGGTGAAGCCGGCTGTAGTGAACGGTGAAGCCGACTTCTAAGTTAGTCGGTGGCCAACTTTGGGCCTCGGCTGTCGACAAAGGTGTTCGTCGACGTGAAGTCGACTTGCATGTGTTGATCGACTGATGAAGCCGACTTAGCGACCTCTTCTGATCGACCATGGAACCTTGTCGGCGAAGTTTTGTGGTGTTCGTGAACGTCATCCAGGTGGTTATGGAGAGATTACGAGGTAGGTGGAGATAGGGTACTTGCGGATAAGGTAGGTTCATTGTGCGACGCCATTCAAAATCACAATAGAAAGTACTAAGCTACCACACGCTAGGCCATTGCAGTGCGCCGTCTTCAGACTCACTAGCTAGCGGCCCCGTCACCTGAGGATTTCGAGCTAGCCCGTGCAACCAGAATTGAAACGGCCCTAACGGTAGGAGGAGTAGGCTGTCAGAAGGGGCCACGAGGAGGATTGGAAGAGAACCATCATCCGTGGGTATTCCCTCGTGACGCCTGCCCGGGCAAGGGAGAATTTGCAACGGGTACACAGTATGCCGCAAATTTTCCACGTTCGGTAGAGGCAACAAAAGAATGGTGCATTTTTTTGTTGGATCAGTCGGAAATAAATCAAACAGTATGACACGTCATGGTCGTGCAACAAAGCACTGCCTGCACGCTATATCTAGATCTAACGTATTAGCCTTATTTTTGGCTTTCCGACAAGAGATTTACGTATCTCCAACACCGTTGTCAGAAGCCACGTGTCTTCGGCTACACTATAGTAGCTCCGTTTCCCGGCATGACAGGGGAGAACACTCTTCAAAGCACCCTTTCAAGCGGTGGTCTTAGGAGCCTTAGGAGTCTTGGGAGTGGTAGTCTTAGGAGCAGGAGAGCCAGCCGCGGGTGACTTAGTCGTCGGGGTAGCCGCGCCCGCGCCCTTGATAACGAACCCCTTAGGCTTCAACACGCGGGAAATTCCCTGCGCGACCACCGTCGGCTTAATGGAGATGTCCTTATCGAGGACAGCGGCGCCTATCTTCTCCATGCCGAACATTCCGACGCCCTTCTTCGTAGGGGTCAGCGAGATCGTCAGGCCGAGGGTCGTCTGGAGCTTCCCGCCAGATGCGGCGAGAGCCTGCAGCTGCGCAAAGGTGTAGGTGCCCTTGACGGCGTGGTACTTGACGACTTTAAGGAGGTCGGCGGTCGCGTACTGCGTGAGGTTGAACTCGTTAAGCGCCTTGTCGTTGGGAACGAAGATGGTTAGGTTCTGCTGCACGAGACTCTTCAGCTGCGTTTGCTTCACTGCGGTTTGAGAATTGGTGAGGAAAGGAGGGAAGGGGCAGAGGAAGAGGGATAAGGAGGGTCAGGGTTAGGATTAGGGTTGGGAATGGCAACGACTGCCGTGTTGGAACGACTGTCGGCGCTTGGCTGATGTGTTACGTGGAGACCGAGGTTCGCAGAGGCGAAAAAACGACTACTGATGTCAAGCGAAACTGATGCGAAACGCGTGTAAATGGTACTTACGAATTGCGCCGACGAGTGATGCGAAGGCCTTGTAACCGGGCTTCGCCTTAACGACGGTGATCACGTCGTTCAGGTTCTTCTCGTAAATCGTCATTTTCGGCGCTGCCTCCAGGGGAGTAACCACCCCGACAACGAGGACCGCCAGAAGCGCGAGAGAGAGGAACCGGGCCATTGCAACAACTGCGAAGTCTTGGACAAGGAAAGGAACACTAAGTACGAATCTGCGGTATAAATGGCAGACCAAAGCAGGGAGAACTGGATCTGACTGGAGAGCTAAGGAATGAAAATTGAAAAGGGCTAGAAACCTTAGCTGAATGACTATGCTTCGACATCGATGGCTATTTGAATATCCGAGTTGCTCCTGAACTATCGGAATAGTTGCTGCTAACCCCGAGGGAGAACCAAAACCAGGAAGATTCGCGCGGCTCCAGCTTCGAGGCTCCAACATTTTCAATCCGCGGCTCGAAATGTTTCGGTTTCGCTGTGTGTGTGGCTGGGGGTCGTCGTCATGGCTTGGGTGTGGCGGCATTCCCGAAGCGTGGTTCGCCTGGTCGGTCAACAAACAAGTGTCGCCTGGTTCACTGAACGACTACGTCCATCGCCTTTAGAAAACCGTAGTCGCCCAAATGGGCGACGGCGCAAACTGGCCAATAGCAAGCGGCACGACGAAAATGTTTTTGGCGGGGTCAGAGCGAAAGAAATTCGAGGGCGCTTCCTCTCACGAGCCAGCAACGGCCCAAACAGCGGTGCAAAGTTTACGATTGGGTGCGACTTGCTCAACCGACGGTTTGTGGAGAAAGGCGACTCTGGCCGACCGAGCAGACGACGGCGTCACACCGCTAAACCCAAACGGGGGAACCGCTCAGGTCACTTAGAAACCGGAATTCGCTTAGCAAATAAGCCCGAGCGTAACAATCTCGTTCTTATCATAGGAGCTTGTGAAATAAAGGTCCTATTGAGTTTTGATGACGGAAGGGAGAAATTGCATATACAGGTGTAAAATAATACCGACAAGTACACCAAATTCATTAAATTTAAAGTAGAAATACTATCCGAGACTCAGATCCAAATCTATGCCTTCCATAGGAGCATTGACAGCCCCTCCATCTTCCTTTGTTTGCCGTTTTAGCCCCTCGTCTCGTTGCGCACTCTCCCCAAAACCGAGAGAAGAACAAACATCACCACCACTATGACTAGCTGGTAACATTCCCAAAAAGGAACCTTCCATACCACCCCCACTCACATTCCGAGGCTCCCGGAAACAATCCAAGGCACCCCCGTCTACACTCTTCCGCTTCTTAGCGGGCGACGCTGCACTTGCCCGAAGCGCATGAGTGAAGTTCTGAAGAGAATGAGCGGAAAGGAAGTGAGTGGAAAGGGAGGAGGAGGAGGAGTTGCGAGGGAAGTGTTTTCGAACAGCCGGGTCGTTTGCAGTGAGTCCCAGGCGACTGATGGTAGCTGCCTTGTCTCCTAAGGAAAGGGTTCTCTCTAGAGCCTTTGCAATACTGCTGCTGCTGCTGGGCCCTGCTAGTGCTCTTTCCGATGCTTGAGCTACTGCAGCTGCTGCTGCCATGTCTGGTGACAGTGATAGACTGGCACCTAGCATTGAAATGCCATTTGTTGGCGTGGTTGGGGTGGTGTGCGTTGGGGTGGTTTGAGTAGGGATAGTCTGTGTGGGGTCGCTTTGAGCGGGGGTATTTTGTGTAGGGGTAGTGGGCACTGCATGAGAAGAGCCTATGGGCGAGGATGATGGTGATGAGGAGGAGTGGGTTTCGCTCCGCCGTGCCTTGTTGCTAGGAGGAGAAGGAAGGAGAGAGAGTGAGAAGGAGAGAGGTGGGTTGGCGGAGGCGAAGGGAGAGGGGGGTCGTGGAGGGAGGGGAGAGAGGGGCCGGTAAGGGGGTGAAGTCTGCTTGTGCTGCGGCTGCTGCTGCTGCTGCTGTTGCTGCTGGTGGTGGTACTGTAGACCATGCTCTGTTGCATGGCCGATTGGGCTGCTTCCAGGTGAGAGAAAGGAGGAGGACGGGGCAGAGAGAGGGGCGGAGGAGGAAGGCCCGAGAGTATGGAGCATTCGAGGTACTGCTTGCCCGGTTGAGCTCGGTGCCGCAAAGGGGTTCCTGGTGCGAGAGGGGATGGATAGATAACCCACGTGTCTGCCCACGTGCCTACCCACGTGCCTGGTGCTCCCTCCCTCTGCCCGGTGATTCATGTGAGCGTCAAACCCCGCACTGGCCGGGGCACTCTGTTGTGCCTCCTCCTTCACGCTCGCTTCAGCACTTATATGGGTGTCAACGCCTAAGCTGCCCCGTGCAGTCATGTGTGTATCAGCCTCTACGGTAGCTGGCGCATTCATGTGTGTGTCGGCCCCTATGCTGCCCCGAAAACTCATGTGAGTGTCATTACTAGGGAGTGCCATGCCAGATGCTGCTGCTGTTGGTGTCGCCTGCTGTGGTGCCATGTGTGCTGCTGCTGTCGCCTGCTGTGGTGCCACGTGTGCTGCTGCTGCCAGGATGGCTCGCAGTGCTGCCTGCTCCGCTGAAACCGAAGCAGCATACGCGGCAGCAGCGGGGGAAGACGCAGATGCAGCAGCAGCACCAGCAGTGGATGGAGGAGTGGAGGGAGGAGCGGAAGAGGGAGGGGCAGAGGCAGTAACCCCACCACTGTCGCAGGCCTTGAGTGCCTCGGCCACCAGCCCTGCTGCTGCTGCCTCTGCCTCTGCTACTAATGACTTAGCTGCTGCTATCACGGCTGGCAATACTGATGCTGGTGCCGCTGCAGGCCGTGGTGGTGCTGGAAATTCTTCTCCTCTTCCCTCTCCAGCTCTTCCTGCTGCTGCTGTCCCCCCTGCTCTGCTCACTGCTCCGCTCTCTGACATGGCGGATAAGCCTGCTGACAGGGCTGCCACGTGGGCAACGGCCAATCCCAGCGGTCCCACGCACTTGGGGAGCTTCCCGGAAGCTGCAACGTACTCTGCCATAGCGGCCCAGAAAGCAGGCGGCACGAGTGACATCAGCGGATCGCCTGATTGGCCGATTCCTTGGGATATTTTGGGCAGCAGCGTGGCTGCCAGGGATGGTGTGAGTTTGGAAGGCGTGACTGTATTGGCCGTGAGTGTAGAGGGGGGGAGTGTCGCTGTGTGTGCTGCTGTGTGTGCTGGTGTGTGTGTTGCTGTGAGCGTGGTGTGTTGGGGTGTGTGCTGTGCTGCTCCGGATGTTGCTGCCGCTACACGAGGCATCACGAGAGGAGTGAAACCAGGAGCAGCAGACGCAGCAGCAGCAGCAGCAGCAGCAGCAGCAGCAGGACTAGAAGCAGAGGGAGCAGAGGAGGCATGAAGCAAGGAGAGCAACCAAGCAGGCGGGCCCACTGGAGGAACCGAACTGTGCATAGCATGGGAACCCACCCCCCCCATGCTGCTGCTGCTGCCGCTGCCGCCGCTGCTGCTGCTGCTGCTGCTGCCCTGAGCCAAGCCAATCCCCATGCCGGCTGTAGCGGGCGTGGTGAGCGCAGTTGTAGCGCCGAGGCTGATCCTGCTGCTGCCTCCGGGTCCAGACGGGTGAAGGGCATTCCTGAGGGTATTGGCTGTGCCTATCATTGCTGCTCCGTCTGCTGGGGCTGCTGTGCCTGTTGGGGGTGCAGCAGCTGTAGCAGCAGTGGCTGTAGCAGGAGAGGTGTTTCTTCCCTGTTGGAGGGATGCCATTAGGAGCGACAGAAACTGTTGCTGCTGCTGCTGTTTCTTCTCCTGCTCTTGCTGCTGCTGTTGCAGCTGCTCTTGATGTTGCTGCTGCTGCTGCTGCTGCTGCTGCTGCTGCTGCTGCTGCTGCTGCTGCTGCTGCTGCTGCTGCTGCTGCTGCTGCTGCTGCTGCTGCTGCTGCTGTTTCTTCTCCTGCTCTTGCTGCTGCTGCTGCTGCTGCTGCTGCTGCTGCTCTTGCTGCTGCTGCAGCACGAGTTGCCTCTGCTGCAGCTGGTGCAACTGTTGCTGCAGACTAAGAGCTCCTTGCGCCCTCGGACCCATCCCAAATGACTTTTGAGTCGGCTCAAAAGTCAGGTGCTGCTGCTGCTGCTGCTGCTGCTGCTGCTGCTGCACACTAAGTGCTCCTTGCGCCCTTTGACCCACCCCAACCGTCCCTCCTGCCTCACCCGCCCCTCCGATCCTCCCCATTCTAACGTCAATCCCAGCACCGCCACCACCAACAACGCTGCCACCACCGCCACTGGTGGTGGCAGCAGCAGCACCATCGCCAGCACCAGCAGTAGCGGCAGAGTCTGCAGCAGTAGAAGCAGCAGCAGCAGCAGCAACAGCAGCAGGAGCACTCTCACCCCCTCCGCCTCCCTCTTCCATCCTCACATCCTCGTCCACACCACCGCCGCCAGGCTCGGCGGCACCGCCAGGCTCGGCAGCTCCAGGCTCGGCAGCTCCAGGCTTGGAACCAGGCTCGGCAGCGCCAGGCTCGGCACCGCCAGGCTCGGCACCACCAGGCTCGATGGTGCTGGTTCGGAGGCGGAGGCGCCCAGCGAAGGTGGAGGGCGGGGGATGGTTGTGTGAGTGGCTGTATGTGATTCGAGCCAAGGCTGGATCGAAGGGCAGAGACGGGTCCACGTCGACGACTTTACGAGCCGGGCATCGGAAGCCGGCTCTGCCCTTCTCCCCACTCGCCTCTCCGCACTTGTAGTATGCTCTGCATTTGGGCGGGGAGCAGAAGTGGGGGAGGAGGTGAGGCGAGACCGGGTCGAAGGGAAGAGACGGGGCAACATCGACGACTTTACGTGCCGGGCATCGAAAGCCGGCTCTGCCCTTCTCGCCACTCGCCTCTCCACACTTGTAGTATGCTCTGCGTTAGGGCCGGGAGCAGAAGGGGTGTGTGTGTGTGTGTGTGTGTGTGTGTGTGTGTGTGTGTGTGTGTGTGTGTGTGTGTGTGTGTGTGTGCGCGCGTGTGCGTGTGATTTTTTTTTTTTTCTCACGCTGGGGAGTTGCTTCGGGAATAGAGAGGAGAGAAAAAAGAGAGGGAAATAAAGTATAGAAAAAAAAGGAAAAAAAGCAGAGACTCTTGCAATGCAATGCAATGCACTTTTGCCCTTTAGCGTGGTGTCACTGTAGCAAAGTAACGTGAGAACAAATATTTTACAACTTCACGATGTTCTCAGACTCTTTCCACCACGCGGAACCCCCGAAAACGTGGCGAAAAACTCTTCACTTTCTCGAGTTTTTCTTCCAAAACGGGTCGTTTTATAAACATGAACCGGGAGTCTGTGGCCTCAGATGTTGCGGACTCTCGAACTACGACATATTACCTTCTCACAGAAACCGGATCGCCGATTTTCGAGAGCACTTTCTCGCCGTATTTCAGCCAGTGGTATCCATCCGCCGCGACCAAACTCATTAAAGCCATTTTCCGCAGAATTAGCTGCGGCTCGTCGACTCCGGAGCCATTTCCGCCTGCCGTTTCGGCGACCGGCGTGTGCTCTCCGTCTGATAAGCTTGCTCCGCTTCCTGGCGCAGAGGCCGCCGCAAGTGGCGGCTGAGAAAGCGCCATTGGGCAACTAAGTTGATTCGACCACGTTGCACTCAGCAATTCCGACTGCTATTTGAAATCTGCGAGCAGAAGTTGCGTGGGCTTGCTGCAAGCAGTGCGTTGGGTGTCAAAGTTCCAGCAAGCAAGTCTTTCCAGATGGCTGAATATTCGGAGAGCATGGCATGAAACCCTGGCAGGAATGGGAGTGGGTGCGATGGGAATGCAACCGAACGCGTCAAGACAAGAGATCTGAAGGAGGCGCGTCATTGAAATTTTGCTACAGTAACATTTACAGATTGTACGTGTTGTGTTGAGTCAGGAAGGTTAGTTTCGCAACGCATCGCACGCAGTGCAGCAAGCACGAGGCGAGAGCCGCAGCACAGTAACCCGACGACGACACGACGTGAATCGCGATTCCCTATGGATTTCAGATCCTCCGCGTCGCCGGATCAACGGAACGTGGGGTGACAGACAAATGCCAATATGTGCCGTACAAAACACCAGCCTGGGCATTGCTCACCTTGCAAATTGAGTCAGTATCCGTCCGAAACTTCGGCATCAGTTAGCCCACAGTAGCTTGAACTGAATGTTTGGGGTCAGGTGCAGCTTTTGTAAAAAAATAGCTGAAATTTGAACCTTGAACAAGCGACTATATTAGATGAAATTATCACTTATGAAACCAGTCCATTCTGATGTCCATTCTGTGTATCTCTACGCAATGAAAACAAGAACATCGGAGCCCAAGCAATTTGTACAGTTCAGGGTGCAAGGGTTTTCTGTCCTTTTTGTCTCATACGTTATGTGGCAAGGGTTTTCCTTCCGCAGTACGACAGTGCACAGTCACTTAGTAGTTCGCGAATACTGTAGTTCGCGAAAATCACACAACGTGGGTTCACTAAGAAACACGGTCCTCCTTCCCCGACCAATCTGATCTGACCCTGGCGACGCGAACGTCCCGCAGAGGATCACATCTACACCCAACCGTACTAGACTTGAAGTTTCATCCGCGATTCTGATTTCGTTCCCTCCCTTCAGACCTCCTTTCCACACAGAGCAGCATTTATGTACATCACTTGATAAAAAATGCAAAAGCAGTGTCACCCTATCAGGGCGGGTCCCCCGCGTTCGTTTCGGCAAAATGACACGAAATTTCGAATTCTGCACAGATCGATAAAACGTTTCTGATACATGTTGGAAACCGAATCTGGTCATTGAATTTGCGGGGGGGACACATCTGTTGAGAGAGACAGCTGCTGGGGCCCCGCTAAATTTTGAGATCTGCACGAATTTGTTTCGTGTGGTGACCTGTTCGTATAGCGTCCCCGCAATAAGGCGCATTTGTGTGTAGGGACTCGTTTTAACCCTTGCTAGCTGGTTACCCTGTGAAATTCGTTTCTGGTTGCGTAAATTGAGCTGACCTGATATGAGAATGACGCGCCCTAAGAGCGTGGTTGAGACGGTTGACAAATCACCTTCGGTGTGGTTTTGTTCACCACTGCAACTGCACTGTACCATTCACACTGAACAGAAATCTGGTCCATACGAAAAACGGGGTTGCAAGCAGAATTGTTCCAGGTGTTTCTGTTCCATCTGTGGAACGAGAAAGTCGGTAAAAACGACAGATCCATCTGTTGTACTCAGCTACAGTTCCAACAGCCGGCGGTGCTGTGTACACGTAGTTCATGACTTGACGGTGCTCGGCCGAGCGGGGGCACCATCAACCAGTCCCAAGACTCGATTCCATCAAACGTGCTTACAAAATAGGTTCTTCGTTTTGAAAAAGCTAATCGAAGAAATTCTTACGGAGTACGTGTTTCCAGCGCAGCTCCTGCGGATTCCATCTGCATGACCCATTTGATTGCACCGCGACTCGTGCTGGCTTGTTCTCCCTGTCTCCTCAAATCGCGTCGTTCGAGTTGCTTACAGATTTATCTCTTCCGCGTTTTATCTGAGCTCGTCTCTATCTCCTTAATCAGCTCCGTGGTTACGATGGATGGGTCAGCGCCGCAGAACTCTCGAACCTCGCTTTCGCAAAGTAACATCGAACGCGGCTCGTTAGAGTCACATCGGGAAATTGAGGCGCTCCGATGCGTCCTCCCGTGGCTGCCGCAGCGCGACCTGTGCGCCGCGGCGTGCGCGTGCAGGGATCTCAGAACCGCCGCGTATCAACCGGCGTTGTGGAAGGTATTACTGGTTCTGAGTTCCGCCTGGAGATTGGAACGCGGCCTTGGAGATCGGAACGCGGCCTTGGAGATCGGAACGCGGCCTTGGAGATCGGAACGCGGCCTTGGAGATCGCATGGATTATAAGAGTGACCCGACAGCCGCTGATTCTTGAAATTTCTGATAATTCTCCCACGTTAAGACAATCATCACGACAGGCGCTGATTCTTGGAAATTCTGATAATTCTCTCACGTTAATACAATTATCACGACATGCGCTGATTCGCCTCGCATGCATTAGATAATCAACCAGCGGTACGTACGAGGGTGAATCCCCGCCGTCTTTCTTCTCCCTGTAAACATCACCTCGGCTAAACCCTCTCCCCCGCTCGGTCTCCCCCCATACGCCCCGCTAAACCCTCTCCCCCGCTCGGTCCCCCCCCATACGCCCCGCTAAACCCGAATCCCTCTTTGGATCAGTCTCTTTCCCTGCAAGGCGCCACTAACGCCAGTGCCAGGCTCGCGCAGGCGCTTCCGCAGGTGTGTGTGTGGGGTTGGGGGTGGGGGTGGGGGGGCGGGGGGTACAGGTGTGGGGGGCAGACGAGAGGTGCGAGTTGACTTGCAAGGCGCCACTAACGCTAGTGCCAGGCTCGCTCACGCGCTTCCGCAGGTGTGCTGGCAGGGGGAGGGGTGCGTGGGGAGGGAGGGATGGGGGAGGGGTGTGGGTGCGCGGGGGAAGGCGAGGCGCCCTAGGCGCCCTGCAAGGCGCCACTAACGCCAGCGCCAGGCTCGCGCAGGCGCTTCCGCAGGTGTGATGGCAAGGGGAGGGGGATATGGGGGTGGGGGGATGCGATGAAAGGGAGGTTTCTGGGGAATGGGGAGGGAGGAGGGGGGAGGTGCGCGTGGGGGAAAATTTGAGGGGTGGGGGATCAGTGCACGGGGTGGGGGAGTGGGGGGGAGGGGAAAGGTCCGGGGGTTGGTGGGGGGTGCGCGGGAGGACTTTCACCTCCCCTCTGCCCACCTCAAGCTGTTCTGTCTTTAGCTTGCTCCCCTTTGCTCCCCCAACTCGCTCCTGGTACTTGAGGCGCCTCAAAAGTAGTCCTCTGCCACCTTCCCTACTTCTGAGGCGCATCAAAAGAGCATTCACCTCCCCTCTGCCCACCTCAAGCTGTTCATTCTGTAGTTTGCTCCCTTTTGGCCCCCTCTCTCGCTCCTTCCTCTGTCCCTCCGGATCCCTCTCCCTGCCTCGTCTCCCTCTCCCTGCCTCGTCTCCCTCTGTCCCTCGAGTTTCCTCTCCTGTACCCCCGTCTTGTGCCCTGCCCCTGCTCTCCGCTCTTGATCCTTCAGCCTCGCTTCTCTCGCCTGGAGCATCTCAATTTGATTTTTTTTTTTTTTTTTAGGCGCCTCAAAATCACCTCTCCTTTCTCACTTGCAGCATCTCAATTTGGAATTTGCACGGCCAATCATCACCCAGCATAAAACCATTCCTCCCCTCTCCCTCGCTTCCTTCCATCTCCTCCCCTCGTGCTCTTCTCGCTGATTTCTCCCCCCAGCCTCGCTTCTCTCACCTGGAGCATCTCAATTTGGAGTTCTCCCAGCCTATCACCGCTGCAACTTTTAGCCTCATCAGCAGTCGCTGCACCTCAGTGTTCTCCCCTCCTTCCCTTTCTCACCCCTTTTCTATCCCCCAGCCTCGCTTCTCTCACCTGGAGCATCTCAATCTCGAGTTCGCCCAGCCAATCACCGCTGCAACTGTTGGGACTCATCAGTCATTGCTCCTTTGTTTTCTCCCCTCTGCCTCGCGCCCTCTCCCCTCTGTTTATCCCCTCAGCCTCGCTTCTCTCACCTGGAGCATCTCAATCTAGAATTCGCCCAGCCTATCACAGACGCGGATCTTTTGCTGCTGGAGGGGAAGGTGCGTGGGTGGCGGGTGGGGGGTGGGAGGTGGGAGGTTGGAGGGTGGGGGGTGGAGGGTGAGGGGATGGAGGATGGTGGGTGGAGGGTGGTGGGTGGAGGGGTGGAGGGAGGGGGGTGGACTTATGCGAGTGGCGCGTGGGGGAGGATGTGTGTCGCTTTTGAGGATTCGTAAAAGTGTGTGAGGCTCTTTGGCCCATAGTTCCAGGCGCACAGACACACACACGGACATTTCAAGAGTTCTCAAATGGTTCTTTTGCTGCCAGCAGTCACTTACCAAGGGGCATTTTCCACAATTCCCACTCCCCTCCCTCCATAACCCGCCACCCCACCCCCGTCCCTCCTCTCCCCTCCAGCCCCTCGTGTTCCTCAGTCTCAACGCCTGCCAGCAACTCACGGACCGAGGGGTCACCACCACTCCCAACCTGACTCCATCCCAGTCCCCTCTTTTCCCCTTCAACCCCTCCCACCATCCCCAATCACCCCTTCCTCAGCCCCTCGTGTTCCTCAGTCTCAACGCCTGCCAGCAACTCACGGACCGAGGGGTCACCAGCTTTGCCACCGCTGCAAAGCTCATTCCTTGAATCACCCTCCTTCTCCCTCCCTCCCCTCCTTTCCCGCTCTCCCTTCCTCAGCCCCTCGTGTCACTCAATCTCAACGCCTGTCAGCAAGTCACCGACCAAGGGGTCACCACTGCAGCTAAATTGCTGCCTAACCTCCGCTCCTTCTCCCTCTACTGGAATCTCAAGTGAGTTTTCCTTCCCTGCCTCCATCCCTCCCTCCCCCCTCTTTCTCACTCACCTTTCTCCTCTCCATTCCTCCACTATCCGCCTCCCCCTCCTGTTTCTCAAACGTCCACTTGTCCCTACTCCCTCCCTTCCCCCTCCCTTCCCCTTTCCTCTTCCTCCCTTCCCTTACCCCTGCCAGACGGATTCAGGGGTTAAGCAAGAGGTGCTGTGTTGCTCCCCATGTCTCCCTCTCTCCCTCTCCGCATGTCCACATGTCTCTTCCTCCCTCCCCTCCTCTTCCTCCCTCCCCTCCTCTTTCTCCCTCCCCTCCTCTTCCTCCCTCCCCTCCTCTTCCTCCCTCCCCTCCTCTTTCTCCCTCCCCTCCTCTTTCTCCCTCCCCTCCTCTTCCTCCCTCCCCTCCTCTTCCTCCCTCCCCTCCTCTTCCTTCCTCCCCTTCCCCCTGCCAGAGTGACGGATTCAGGAGTAAAACAAGTGGTGTTTCAATACCCCCTGTGCTCCTTTGTTATTTCCCTTCCCCGTGGCCTATCCCTCCCCTCCCCCCTCCGTTTCCTTGTCCTACTCCCCATTTCTCCCTCCTCTTCCCCCTGCCAGAGTGACTGATTCAGGAGTGAAGCAAGTGGTGCTGCGATGCTCCTCGTTACAGTCACTCAACCTCAGTGGATGCAAGGTAACTTCCTCAGTCACTCTCACTCACTCACACACTCACTCACTCTCTCAGTCTTCCCAACCTTGTAATCCCTCCCGTCGGTACCCAAACTATCTTCTCTACCACAATTCACCATCTCCACCCACCTCCACCCGTCTCCACCCACCTCCACCCATCTCTGCCCATCTCCATCCCATCTCCACCGTTACCCATCTCCACCATTACCCATCTCCACCCATCTCCACCACCGCAGAACATCACTGATACATCGCTTCGCTTCATTGCCAACTCGCTTCTGCACCTCAAGTCCCTCAACCTCACACGGTGCGTGCTTCTGAGTCAACTCAAGGCTGGCAGGAAGGAAAGGAACATGTTCAACTCTCTTTGCTTGATTCGCAAATTGCTCCCCCACCTCATTTCTCGGTCGGTGCGTGTGTAAGATTGCCTGTGCTTCTGTGCGTATTCAGAAAACGTCTGGAGAAACGCGTACGACTCATGTGCCGCACGTGCGTGCGGGTGTGCGTGCGTGTGTGTATGCCTGCGTGTGTGCATGTGTTTCGTGTATGACCCAGCAGGTGTGTGAAAGCGACAGACACGGGTCTCAAGCACATCACAGCGGGATGCACCCACTTGGAAGAGCTGCTTCTCTACGCACTCTCCAGGTGACTCTTGGGCATGTGTGCGTGGGCGCATGTGTGCGTGGGCGCATGTGTGCGTGGGCGCATGTGTGCGTGGGCGCATGTGTGCGTGGGCGCATGTGTGTGCGTGTGCTCAAGCATTTCACAGAGGGTTGCCCTCATTTAGAAGAGCTGCTTCTTTACGCGCTCTCCAGGTGACTTTTGGGTCGTGTTAACGTTCCAGTTTTGAATCACCCTGCTGCGCGCGCGCGCGTGCGTGTGTCCCTGACAACCACCGCGCAACTCTCCCACCTGCAAGTGCTCGACCCATGCCGCGTTGTGCGCCTCTTCCCATCGATGCCTCCCCTCGCTCCCCTCACTTCCTCCCTTCGGTGTCTCTTCAACCCTTCACCTCCCCTCACTCCCCACAGCTCCCCTCACGTCCACCAGCTTCACAGACGAGTCTCTGGCAACCATCGGCCAGCTATCCCACCTGCGAGTGCTTGACCTGTGTGGCAATGTGCGCCTCTTCTCCTCATCCCGCTCACCCCCCACACTTCCCTCAACCCCCCTCCCCCCACCCCACTCCCTCACTTCTACCAGCTTCACAGACGAGTCTCTGGCAACCATCGGCCAGCTATCCCACCTGCGAGTGCTTGACTTGTGCACATCTTCCCCTCTTTGTCTTCCCATCCTCCCCCTCACTCCCCTCACTCCCCTCACTCCCCTCACTCCCCTCACTCCCCTCACTCCCCTCACTCCCCTCACTCCCCTCACTCCCCTCACTCCCCAACAGCTTCACAGACGAGTCTCTTGCAACCATCGGCCAGCTGTCCCACCTACAAGTGCTTGACCTGTGCGCCTCTTCCCTTCAGCACTTAGCCTCCCCTCACTCCCCCACTCCCTCACTTCTACCAGCTTCACAGACGAGTCTCTTGCAACCATCGGCCAGCTATCCCACCTGCGAGTGCTAGACCTGTGCGGCATGAAGGTATGACAGTCGAAGCAGAGTATTGAATACGTCTAGTGCTATGCCCTGAATTCAGTGCCTGTGCAGTGTGCGTTCTTCTAGGGACTGGAGGGCATATCACGCTGCACTAACCTCGCACGGGGATGGGCTTTGATGCTTTGTCTACAATAATCGTTTCTCTCGTTTCATTTCGCTCATAGTCTCATGGTGAGGTGCATGTAGTGATTGAGTCGCCTCAATACTTGCACTAACCTCGCACACGGATGGGCTTTTGATGCTTTGTCTACAACGATCGGTGTTCTCCTTGCTATCCTCTGCTGCTTTGCTACCACCCCTCTCATGTCACCGCTCCATCAGCATCTGACAGACAAAGGACTGGAGGGCATTGCACGCTGCTCTCGCCTCCATCAGGGATGGGCTTTGAGGCTTTGTCCACAAAAATCCATCCCTCCCCTTGTTATGAATCACATCCCGCCTCACGTCTCATCCCTCTCTTCTCCATCAGCATCTCACAGACAAGGGACTGGAGGGCATTGCACGCTGCTCTCGCCTCCCTCGGGGATGGGCTTTAAGGCTCTGTCTTACCATGATCGTTTCTCTCATTGCTATCACGTCTCTGTCTCTTTCCCATCAGCATCTGACGGACAAGGGACTGGAGGGCATTGCGCGCTGCTCTCAACTCGTTTCCCTCAACCTCTCATGGTAATCTGCTTGTAGTGTTTGAGCCACCTCAAGGATTGCTCTCACCTCGTATCCCTTAACCCTTTTCTCATGGTATTCTGTTACTAGTGGGTTGCTTGTTGGGTGCTGGTTCTACTACTGCACTGAGTTTAGTGGATTCCTTGCGTAATGTGTATTTTCACCCCAGGTGTGTGCTTGTAACAGATCAAGGCCTCATTGGACTGGCATCCTCCTGTCCTAATCTCGAGCTTCTAAGGTACGCTCTCGAGCTGACTTTTGCGTCGACTCAAAAGACATCTTTTAAGTTACGATTTTCCTAAAAAACTTACTTCGTGCACAAATTCATCTCGCTTATGGACGCATGCATTCCCAAAAGCCGAGGCACGAGAGTACGATTGTGTCTCTCTCTTCCAGTCCCCTTATTCTCTCTCTCCATGTCTTCCATACCTGCTTCACTTCTACGTCTCTCCCAGTCTGCAAGGCATGAGGGGGGTCACGCATGGTCATGCATGGTCACGCATGGTCACGCATGGTCACGCATGGTCACGCATGGTCACGCATGGTCACGCATGGTCACGCATGGTCACGCATGGTCACGCATGGTCACGCATGGTCACGCATGGTCACGCATGGTCACGCATGGTCACGCATGGTCACGCATGGTCACGCATGGTCACGCATGGTCACGCATGGTCACGCATGGTCACGCATGGTCACGCATGGTCACGCATGGTCACGCATGGTCACGCATGGTCACGCATGGTCACGCATGGTCACGCATGGTCACGCATGGTCACGCATGGTCACGCATGGTCACGCATGGTCACGGGTGGTCACGCATGGTCATGGATGGTCACGCATGGCATGGTCACGCATGGTCACGCATGGTCACGCATAGTCACTCATCGTCACGGGATGGTCACGCATGGTCACGGATGGTCATGCATGGTCACGCATGGTCACGCATGGTCACGCATGGTCACGCATGGTCACATGGATGGTCACGCATGGTCACGCATGGTCACGCATGGTCACGCATGGTCACGCATGGTCACGCATGGTCACGCATGGTCACGCATGGTCATGGGTGGTCACGCATGGTCACGCATGGTCACGCATGGTCACGCATGGTCACGCATGGTCACGCATAGTCACTCATCGTCACGGGATGGTCACGCATGGTCACGGATGGTCATGCATGGTCACGCATGGTCATGCATGGTCACGCATGGTCACGCATGGTCACGCATGGTCACGCATGGTCACATGGATGGTCACGCATGGTCACGCATGGTCACGCATGGTCACGCATGGTCACGCATGGTCACGCATGGTCACGCATGGTCACGCATGGTCACGCATGGTCACGGGTGGTCACGCATGGTCACGCATGGTCACGCATGGTCACGCATGGTCACGCATGGTCACGCATGGTCACGCATGGTCACGCATGGTCACGCATGGTCACGCATGGTCACGCATGGTCACGCATGGTCACGCATGGTCACGCATGGTCACGGGATGGTCACGCGTGGTCACACATGGTCACGCATGCTCACGCATGCTCACGCACGGTCACGCACGGTCACGCACGGTCACGCATGGTCACACGCATGGTCACGCATGGTCACGCATGGTCACGGGTGGTCACGCATGGTCACGCATGGTCACGCATGGTCACGGGATGGTCACGCATGGTCACGGATGGTCACGCATGGTCACGCATGGTCACGCATGGTCACGCATGGTCACGCATGGTCACGCATGGTCACGCATGGTCACGCATGGTCACGCATGGTCACGCATGGTCACGCATGGTCACGCATGGTCACGCATGGTCACGCATGGTCACGCATGGTCACGCATGGTCACGCATGGTCACGCATGCTCACACATGCTCACGCATGGTCACGCATGGTCACGCATGGTCACGCATGGTCACGGGATGGTCACGCATGGTCACGGATGGTCACGCATGGTCACGCATGGTCACGCATGGTCACGCATGGTCACGCATGGTCACGCATGGTCACGCATGGTCACGCATGGTCACGCATGGTCACGCATGGTCACGCATGGTCACGCATGGTCACGCACGGTCACACGCATGGTCACACGCATGGTCACACATGCTCACGCATGCTCACGCATGCTCACGCATGCTCACGCATGCTCACGCATGGTCACGCATGGTCACGCATGGTCACGGGATGGTCACGTATGGTCACGGATGGTCACGCATGGTCACGCATGGTCAGACATGGTCACGCATGGTCACGCATGGTCACGCATGGTCACGCATGGTCACGCATGGTCACGCATGGTCACGCATGGTCACGCATGGTCACGCATGGTCACGCATGGTCGGACACGCACGGACACGCATGGTCACGCATGCTCACGCATGCTCACGCATGCTCACGCATGCTCACGCATGGTCACGCATGCTCACGCATGGTCACGCATGGTCACGCATGGTCACGCATGGTCACGCATGGTCACGCATGGTCACGCATGGTCACGCATGGTCACGCATGGTCACGCATGGTCACGCATGGTCACGCATGGTCACGCATGGTCACGCATGGTCACGCATGGTCACGCATGGTCACGCATGGTCACGCATGGTCACGCATGGTCACGCATGGTCACGCATGGTCACGCATGGTCACGCATGGTCACGCATGGTCACGCATGGTCACGCATGGTCACGCATGGTCACGCATGGTCACGCATGGTCACACATGCTCACGCATGCTCACGCATGCTCACGCATGGTCACTCATGGTCACGGGATGGTCACTCATGGTCACGGATGGTCACGCATGGTCACGCATGGTCACGCATGGTCACGCATGGTCACGCATGGTCACGCATGGTCACGCATGGTCACGCATGGTCACGCATGGTCACGCATGGTCACGCATGGTCACGCATGGTCACGCACGGACACGCATGGTCACGCATGGTCACGCATGGTCACGCATGGTCACGCATGGTCACGCATGGTCACGCATGGTCACGCATGGTCACGCATGGTCACGCATGGTCACGCATGGTCACGCATGGTCACGCATGGTCACGCATGGTCACGCATGGTCACGCATGGTCACGCATGGTCACGCATGGTCACGCATGGTCACGCATGGTCACGCATGGTCACGCATGGTCACGCATGGTCACGCATGGTCACGCATGGTCACGCATGGTCACGCATGGTCACGCATGGTCACGCATGGTCACGCACGGTCACACGCATGGTCACACATGCTCACGCATGCTCACGCATGCTCACGCATGCTCACGCATGCTCACGCATGCTCACGCATGGTCACGCATGGTCACGCATGGTCACGCATGGTCACGGGATGGTCACGCATGGTCACGGATGGTCACGCATGGTCACGCATGGTCACGCATGGTCACGCATGGTCACGCATGGTCACGCATGGTCACGCATGGTCACGCATGGTCACGCATGGTCACGCATGGTCACGCATGGTCACGCACGGACACGCATGGTCACGCATGGTCACGCATGGTCACGCATGGTCACGCATGGTCACGCATGGTCACGCATGGTCACGCATGGTCACGCATGGTCACGCATGGTCACGCATGGTCACGCATGGTCACGCATGGTCACGCATGGTCACGCATGGTCACGCATGGTCACGCATGGTCACGCATGGTCACGCATGGTCACGTTTGCGGGCTTATCTGCCCTTTCTGCCTCCTCTCTCGCCCCATGCACTTTGTGTCTGCCCTCTCTGCCCTACCGTCCCCAGTTTGCACGGCATAAGAGGGGTTACAGATGCGCTGCCGTCTCTGTTTCCTGCACTTACTCCCCCCCCATTCGTCAAATCCACATTCTCTCCCTCGCTTCCTGTCCCCTCCCTTCCATACCCGCTTCTCTCCCCTCTCTTTCCCAGTCTGCACGGCATAAGAGGGGTCACAGATGCGGCCATGGCTGCCCTCTCTGCCTCTCCCACCCTTTCATCGCATCCTCTGCCTCCTCCCCTTATCCCCCTCCCCCTATCCCCCTCCCCCCATGCGTATTCCTCCCCTGTCTCTCCCAGTCTCCACGGCATAAGGGGGGTCACAGATGCGGCCATGTCTGCCCTCTGTGTTTCCTGCACTCCCCCCCCCCCCCCCCCCCGTTTGTCAAATCCACATTCTCTCCCTCGCTTCCTGTCCCCTCCCTTCCATACCCGCTTCTCTCCCCTGTCTCTCCCAGTCTGCACGGCATAAGGGGTGTCACAGATGCCGCCATGTCTGCCTTCTCTGCCTCTTGCCATACATCCCTGCACACATTGGACGTCAATGGTTGTGTGGGAATACAGGTATGGTTCCTGTTTGTCTCTGCCCACACCCATTGTGATCTGTGTGTGCGCGCGATACGATTTAGGCCGATGACTCCTAAACTCTTCCCGGTTTTGCCTGCGTTTTTGCTTTTGTTTTTCTCCTTTGTTTCGCTTCATTACAAACCATGATTCGGTTTGGTTACAAGCCGTGTCGTGATCGCTTCACGTTATGTGGCTGTGTCGGCGCTGGTCTAATATATTACAAGCTGTGTCGAGATGCGTGCTTTCTTGCACAGGAACGTTCGCACGACCATCTGAAGCTGCTTTTTCCACGGCTCGCGTCCTTTACGGTTCATAAATAGAGCTGATACATGACCCTAAAAACACAGTGACCCTCCCTTTTCCAAGGCACACGGCACATGATGACCTGTATGTGCCCTATGGGACGCCCATTTAGTGAACAAATGGAGACTCACCACAGAGAGGTTATCTGTTCTCCCCTTGTGTAGTGAGCAAACTGACTTGTACACTGCAGTTAGCTTAGATATCAATCAAGCAAGAAGAGTCATTGTTTTCCTTGTGAAACAGGAGCAGCCTTTCTTTGAAGGCACACTCATGGGAGTCATGCATGTGTGCTCAGTCATATCTATGTGAAACATCCTTGTCACTAAGAACACTGAAAGAAGTGTTACGGTACAAGCAAGAGAATACACAAAAAGCAAGATGTAATAAGCCCATCCATGCGTCTCAGCAGGTTCCAAAACCTCATAACAATCACCCAATGGATACACGCCTTCTCCAACCACCTCAGTCGACAGTGCACAACAGCAACAAAATGTGCAATAAAAGGAGGGGAAAATACGAGAGACGCTAGTAACACCTCTTCCTACCCCTACTTAGACGCATCTTTCCCCTCCTCCCCTCTTCCCCTGTTGCCCTGCCCCTCTCCCCACACCCCCTCCCTCCCGCCCCTCACTCCGTTGCCACCCCAACCTCATCCGCACTTGCAGCAGCAGCGGCCGCCGGCTTGACAGCAATAACAGCCGAGACCCAAGAGTCAATCCCGCACTCATCCTTACCCCGGCACAGCTTGTAGTACCCCTGCTCGCCCCACGCCTCTCACTCGGTCACTGCCCGCCCCTTACTCAGTCGCTACCCCTGCCGCAGGCTTCACAGCCACCACAGCCGAGACATACGAGTCAATCCCGCACTCATCCTTCCCGCGGCACAACTTGTAGTACCCCTGCTCGCCCCAGGCCTCGCCCCAGCTGTTCTTGATCACCCAGTAGTCCTTGTAGCGCAGGCGAGCCGGGGAGAACCCATGGGAGCCGTACCCCACCATGAGCACCCCGTGGTTCAGGGCATGGCGGTTGCAGAGGAGGGGGCAGGAAACGCCCTTCACGTACGACTGCATCCAATTGGCGTTCAGAGCAACTGGTTGGTTACGGGTGAAAGGGGAGGGGGGGAACGGGAGGAAGAGGTGATTAACTCAAGAAAACCCATGGGAGCCGTACCCCACCACGAGCACCCCGTGGTTCAGGGCATGGCGGTTGCAGAGGAGGGGGCAGGACACGCCCTTCACGTACGACTGCATCCAATTGGCATTCAGAGCAACTGGTTGGTTACGGGTGAAAGGGGAGGGGGGGAACGGGAGGAAGAGGTGATTAACTCAAGAAAACCCATGGGAGCCGTACCCCACCACGAGCACCCCGTGGTTCAGGGCATGGCGGTTGCAGAGGAGGGGGCAGGACACGCCCTTCACGTACGACTGCATCCAATTGGCATTCAGAGCAACTGGTTGGTTACGGGTGAAAGGGGAGGGGGGGAACGGGAGGAGAGGTGATGATCTCAAGAGAACCCATGGGAGCCGTACCCAACCATGAGCACCCCGTGGTTCAGGGCATGGCGGTTGCAGAGGAGGGGGCAGGACACGCCCTTCACGTACGACTGCATCCAATTGGCATTCAGAGCAACTGGTTGGTTACGGGTGAAAGGGGAGGGGGGGAACGGGAGGAAGAGGTTATTAACTCAAGAAAACCCATGGGAGCCGTACCCAACCATGAGCACCCCGTGGTTCAGGGCATGGCGGTTGCAGAGGAGGGGGCAGGACACGCCCTTCACGTACGACTGCATCCAATTGGCATTCAGAGCAACTGGTTGGTTACGGGTGAAAGGGGAGGGGGGGAACGGGAGGAAGAGGTTATTAACTCAAGAAAACCCATGGGAGCCGTACCCCACCACGAGCACCCCGTGGTTCAGGGCATGGCGGTTGCAGAGGAGGGGGCAGGACACGCCCTTCACGTACGACTGCATCCAATTGGCATTCAGAGCAACTGGTTGGTTACGGGTGAAAGGGGAGGGGGGGAACGGGAGGAAGAGGTGATTAACTCAAGAAAACCCATGGGAGCCGTACCCCACCACGAGCACCCCGTGGTTCAGGGCATGGCGGTTGCAGAGGAGGGGGCAGGACACGCCCTTCACGTACGACTGCATCCAATTGGCATTCAGAGCAACTGGTTGGTTACGGGTGAAAGGGGAGGGGGGGAACGGGAGGAGAGGTGATGATCTCAAGAGAACCCATGGGAGCCGTACCCAACCATGAGCACCCCATGGTTCAGGGCATGGCGGTTGCAGAGGAGGGGGCAGGACACGCCCTTCACGTACGACTGCATCCAATTGGCATTCAGAGCAACTGGTTGGTTACGGGTGAAAGGGGAGGGGGGGAACGGGAGGAAGAGGTTATTAACTCAAGAAAACCCATGGGAGCCGTACCCAACCATGAGCACCCCGTGGTTCAGGGCATGGCGGTTGCAGAGGAGGGGGCAGGACACGCCCTTCACGTACGACTGCATCCAATTGGCATTCAGAGCAACTGGTTGGTTACGGGTGAAAGGGGAGGGGGGGAACGGGAGGAAGAGGTTATTAACTCAAGAAAACCCATGGGAGCCGTACCCCACCACGAGCACCCCGTGGTTCAGGGCATGGCGGTTGCAGAGGAGGGGGCAGGACACGCCCTTCACGTACGACTGCATCCAATTGGCATTCAGAGCAACTGGTTGGTTACGGGTGAAAGGGGAGGGGGGGAACGGGAGGAAGAGGTGATTAACTCAAGAAAACCCATGGGAGCCGTACCCCACCACGAGCACCCCGTGGTTCAGGGCATGGCGGTTGCAGAGGAGGGGGCAGGACACGCCCTTCACGTACGACTGCATCCAATTGGCATTCAGAGCAACTGGTTGGTTACGGGTGAAAGGGGAGGGGGGGAACGGGAGGAGAGGTGATGATCTCAAGAGAACCCATGGGAGCCGTACCCAACCATGAGCACCCCGTGGTTCAGGGCATGGCGGTTGCAGAGGAGGGGGCAGGACACGCCCTTCACGTACGACTGCATCCAATTGGCATTCAGAGCAACTGCAGGGGTAGAAGACGTAGAAGAAAGGGGGAGGAAAGAAGGGAGCAGGGGAAAATCCGTACCCCACCATGAGCACCCCGTGGCTCAGGGCATGGCGTTGCAGAGGAGGGGGCAACTAAAAGGGTAGAAGTGGGGAAGGGAAGCGTGGGAGGAAACAGGGGGACGGGAAGGCGTGGGGAGGGCAAGAGATGTGGTGATGTATTGAGAACCTGCGTGACTTATACCCCACCATGTGCACCCCGCGGTTCAACGCATGGCGGTTGCAGAGCAGAGGGCAGGAGACATTCTTGACGTAAGAACATGCATTTTAGCTAGACTTAAGTGACAACAATAAAAAAAAAAAAAAAAAAAAAAAGGACCTTGAGCGCTCTTGCGTACAAGAACTCAAGGTGTTACAACGTTAAGAGGATCTATGAAGCACTTAATGTTGTAACACCTAGAGTTTTTGTACGCAAAAGCATCCAAGATCCTTAGATTCTGTTTTTTTCTACCTTAACGACTCCACCTCCACTGCCACTCATCCCGCGCTGAACTGGCAGCACCCCTCCCTGCCCGTATAACTTAACCCCCCCTGCAGCCCTTTCGGTATCAGCTGCTGTGTTGTACAAGCCTCAAGTACAGTTGCTCTCACCTGCAAGAGGCCCGTGCACCCCAACAAACGACTCTACCCTCGCCGCCACCCGCCCCAACGCCCTCCCTGCACTCCCACTCACCCCTGCACATACTTATACGTGCAGGGAAGAACGCTCACCTGCCAGAGGCCCGTATTTAACCAGGTGTGCCTGCATCTGATCGTCCTTCTGAGGCACCTCCACAAACGACTCCACCCTCGCCGCCACTCGCCCCGCATCAAACTGGCAGAGCCCCTCCCTGCCCGTGTAGCCATACTCCTGCTCCGTCTGAAGCCCCCCGGCCTTCTGGATGTAGCGAAACACGTTGTTCATCAGCCCGCCGCCACATCCCGAGTCACATGCTTCCTTTTCCTTGGGGTCACACTGGGATGAAAGAGCCAGGAGAGAAAGGAGGGAACCGGAAGTTCAGGGGGGGAGAGAGAGGTGACAGTGTGTGTTTGGCAAACTGGCAGCGCTCCTCCCTGCCCGTGCATCCGTCCGTACTCCTGCTCTGTCTGAAGCCCCCCAGCTTTCTGAATGTATTGAAACACGTTGTTCATCAGCCCGCCTCCGCAGCCAAAATCGCATGCCTCCTTCTGCTTGGGGTCGCACTGGGGCAAGGAGAAAGGGAAACGCGGTGGGGTAGGGGACGGGCGAGGGGGGAAAGAGGGAGGAAAGAGGTGAGGGTGAGTGTTTTTCAAACTAGCAGCGCCCCTCCCTGCCCGTGTAGCCATACTCCCGCTCTGTCTACAGCACCCCCGCTTTCTGAATGTAGCGAAACACGTTGTTCATCAGCCCGCCACCACAGAAAGAATCACACGCCTCCTTCTGCTTGGGGTCACACTGGAAATTGGCGAAGCGAGAAACGGGAAGGGCAGGGGGTGTGGGAGAAAACGGGGAAGCGGGAACGGGAAAGAAAAGTGAGTCATTGTCATAGGTGGGATGCCTTCCGTCCTGATCAACAACTTCCTGCGGAATACGGAACTCGCTGTGGTCACACGCACGTTATAGTCACATACTCCCCACTCACGTTATGGTCACACTCACGATGCGATCTGCTGCTTGCTTAGGCTGAGGGCTCCCTGTGGCCGGATAGTGCGCGCCCTTCAACGCTTGCTTTCTTTGCCCTATGGTCGAATTCATGTACAGGTACTCCCGATATAGTCACATCCTCCCCACTCACGTTATGGTCACAGCCGACAATCTGCTGCTCACAGAGGCTAATCAAATCGCCCCGTCGCCAGGTCGTGCTCGCCCTCCAACGCTCGGTTGATCTGCTTGCCCCCTCATGCTGCCACTCACGTTACAGTCACATCCTTCCGTTACAAGCACACTCAAGTTACAATCAAGCCACTCACGTTATGGTCACAGTCGACGATCTGCTGCTCGCTCAAGCTGATCAAGTCGCCCGTCGCCAGGTAGTGCGCGCCCTCCAACGCTCTCTGTTTGCCCCTCATGCTCCCACTCACGTTACAGTCACATACACCTTACATCACGTTACAGTCGCACTCACGTTATGGTCACAGTCGACGATCTGCTGCTCGCTGAGGCTGATGAGCTCGCCCGTCGCCAGATAGTGCGCGCCCTCCAACGCGCCCACGGCACTGAACGCGTAGCACGACCCGCACATGCCCTGGGGGGAGGGGAGGGGAGCGACGGGGGAAGGGAGTGACGGGGGTTCGGAGGAAGGGGCGTGGGGGAAAAGCAAACAGGCTTTAGCAGAGAGGATAGCAGGTAGTGCGCGCCTTCCAACGCGCCCACGGCGCTGAACGCGTCGCATGACGTGCACATGCTCTGAAAGAGACGGGCAAATAAGACGGGAGAGGGAGACGCAGCAGGAGCGGTCAAAAGTAACCAAGAAAACGAGAAAAAAACACACATAGAAATAAAGAGAATTAAATACACGAGCTATAACTTATCGCCTCATTCCTTCCACCTGATTCCTGTCGGCCGCCACCCTCCCTTTCCCTCCAACACCAATCCCCATGCCCCCTTCCGCCCAATCCCCATCCCCCAACCAGGGTCCCTCACCTGGTTCTTAACGCCAGTCACCGCGCCCTTCTCGCGCCAATCAAACTGCTCCGGAAGGTCGCCCGTCGGCAGCTCGGACCGCTCCAGCCGTCCCTCCGCTTTCAGACTCCCCAGAAGCGCGCTGCGCGCGGTACGCGCGGAATCCACGGGCAGCAGACCGAGATGCGTCTTGGCAAATTCCTCCGGGGTTAGATCAGAGAAGGGAGTCACGCCGTGTTCCGCGGAGGGGTCCTGGAGTTGGATCTGCGCCGCGCGGAGGAGGTTCGCGCGGAAGATGCGCAGGCGCGCGCGGTACTGGCGGAGATCCGCCGCGTACGACTTGTTGAAACGGTGGATGAAACGCGCGAAGTGTTCCGCCGGGTTGCGCAGCGCGCCGAGCAGCGGATGGCTGGCGGGAAGCTTGGTGAGGATATGATTCACCTCCGTAGACCCCACGGTATTATCCGAGGCATCATCAAAGACAAAATCGGATTCCGTCTTATCGAATCCGTCATCTTCGGCGCGAACAAAAGGGGCAACAATAAGCGAAATTAGGGCCAGCAGGAGGAAATAGCGCATGGTTCCCGCCATCCTTGCCGACATAAACCGCCAAGAGAACGCGAAGCGCAGACCGCTAGAGGTGTAGCACTTGTTGCAGGAGAGCAGCGGCCACAGCAGCAGGTGCAAAGGAAAATGCGGAAAAAATGTCAGGCCAAGATCGAACAAGCAGCAATATCAGGAACGCAATTCTGTGAATGGGAGGCTAGGTTGGATTGGATTGGAATGGAACTGGCAAGGTGTGGGGTGGAGGTTGCTTGCTCGACAAGGGGGAAAAGAAGCACACGAATGGGGGAGGCGGTGCGGAGGACAGTAAATGAACGAATATTATGGATACTGTAAAAGATCCCACAGTCGGAAGTTGCATCTACTAAACATCGAAAAGATTTGACGTTATGGGGGCTGTTGCTCGTTCATAGGCACATTGCCACTTCCAGTGGGTACTCCAAGAAAGTCGAAACTCATACTTATTACACCGTCGCAAGGCAAAAAACGAAATTGTTTAGCCACTTCAGGTATTGCCTTTGAAAATGTCACCTGATGAGACGTATTGTCAACAAAGCGCTCGCCGACACGTCGCCACGTGGCTCCATCTGCTGAGCCGACCAGTTGAACCGAAGCTTATTGTCAGAATCAGGGCCTCAGATTCGTTTTGGCCTAGGCTGAAGAATCAGAGTTGGTACAAAACATTTTGCTGAAAATAAAAAAATCTACCAATTTATGCCATTTTACACTACAAACCTTATAAAAATTCCTGTTTCTTCTCAACAAATTGCTGGGAAATCAGCCTCACTCCTAAAAAGGGTCTGAAATCTCAGCCTTTTTTCGCTGACTTCTGAGGCCCTGGTCAGAATGCACTGCACTATCAAGGAGGCTAAAACGATGCACAATAATGTGCATGAAAACCATACAAAAAAAATAATACTTGTGTCTTAATTAGATCACCTATTGACAACAGGACGCTAAAAGGAGTATAAATAAACCAAATGGCAGACCCTACCCATTCTACACAGGATACACGCTCCCATGCAGTTCCACCCAGATGCCCCAACTAATTGTTACAATACTTTGTGTTGACCTTCCAGGCGAGGGTAGTCATCAAGCGACCCCAGCGACCCGCAACTCGAAATTGGCGATATGCTTATAAGAGAGACTTTTCGGCAACCCATGCCTCTGCTTTTCAAGACTCCAAGAGAACCAACTCCATTTGCTGCATCCCTTCCTGATACACTCTCCTCCCCCTCCTCACTATCTTCATCTGCTGCATACCCCATCGGGTTTTGCCTCGCCCAGTTCCACTGATCCCGGCACATGTCCTCTACAGTGCGTGTAGCTCTGCATAAAGAAAAAGAGGATAAAGCATAGAATAACATTACAGGTGATAAGGACACCAAATAAGCATGAAAGCAGTAGAGGATTTCTGCCACGAAAAAAATGTACATATATTTGAAGTTAACTCTAGATGCACTTCTCACCTCCAGTTGAGGTCTCTTTGCGCCTTGCCTGTGGATGCAAAGACCTCGGAACAGTCTCCTGGTCGCCTGGGACACAACTTCACAGGAAGCTTCTGCAAGACAGGAAGCAAAACGAGGCCAGCCAAAAATACCCGATGAATGAGTGAATGAATGAATGAATACAGAGCACGCACACTCGATGAGTACGATGTATGGAGATCGAGAGAAGCAAGGGTCAAACACAGGAGAGGGGAAAGGAGACATCTCAACGACAGGCACTTGCATAAGTGGAGTAAACACTACTGAAACATCATCACGGAGAACCACAATATATGTGTGTGAAAGTGAAGTTAGAAGTGATAGAAGAGGGGAAGAACCAACAGGGCTCTCTCACCTGGCCACATGCCCTCTCGAATCCAGCCACCATCTCCAGCACTGTGGTGCCCTTGCCTGTGCCCAGGTTGTACACATCACAGCCTGTAAGCGAAGGGACAGGAGAAATGGAGCACAAGGGAATCAATGTTTACCCAGCTCCAGCATAGTTGTGCCCTTGCCTGTGCCAGGTTGTACATAACACAGCCTGCAATTGAAGGGATGGTGGAAAGGGAGCACCAGGGAATCAGTGTTTTCCCATCTTCAGCACAGTTGTGCCCTTGCCTGTGCCCAGGTTGTACACATCACAACCTAGAGGTGATGGAATTGGGGGGGGGGAGGTCCAAAGGGGTGCGGTTAGCCAAAGGGAGTGTGAAGAGAGTGCAAAGAGTCTCAGCATTGAGGTCTTTGCCAGAATGCCGACCACAACGAGGGGTTCTAGACTAGTGGAGACAGAGGCATAGAAGGGCACATCATGGTGGGGATACAGAGCTGCTGCTTCCGCATCGACATCTGACTGAAACTTCAATTCACGTACCTCCTGCCTGGCATGTGAATATTCGCCTCAGCGCTGCTGCATGGCCTGCAGCAAGGTCCATGACGTGGATGTAGTCCCGCACCTGGTCATGCCACGTCACCAGGGGTGGCATCCGCGTCACACGTCAGGGGAGCGGGAAAGAGGTGAGGAAGGGTGGGGAGAGGGGGGGGAAGGAAGGGTGGGGAGAGAGGGGGGAAGTCAATGACCGGAGGCAAGAAACAGCAGCGGAACAACAACACGAGCTGTTTTGCGGAACGGAATGGGGAAAGCTGGTGCGTAACACATTGGAATAGGAATGATATGTGTTGTGACCTGCACATCGAATGCCACTACCGAGGGGACGAGGGGACCACCGACGGGAAAGCATCCTGCAACAATGCACTGGCAGCTGCAACGCGTGAAAATAGCGCAAGTCATGGCTCATTCGCTTTGAATCTACCACTAGGAGGAAAAACAACCTTGGCGCGTTGGCTCCGTGGCTCCCTTTGAGGCGCAATACAATCCCATTTCCTTTAGAGGCCCCTGAACAAAGCATGGCATTGATTTATTTGCTTCAATACCCCACAACACTCACCCCGAGACCTCCCACTCTCACTCTCACTCCACCCACTCACCCCTGTGCCGTCGCGTGTAGGGTAGTCGCTCCCAAAGACGGAAAGATGAGTGCGTCGCCCCACGGCGACCTGCTGGATGAACGGCATGAGGTTGTTGGGGATGCCGCGCGGGTCCTCCCCGATGCGCCCGCTGGGGTGCGCGCCCACTGGGTTGAAGTAGCGCAGCAGCACGATGCTCCACGTGGCATCTGACGCGTACACGTCCTGCAGCACGCGCTCGATGTACAGCTGCACACGCAGCACAGCACGTGAAGCGTTTTGTAACGGGGATGTTTGGTACGAAACACTTGAAGGACTTAAATTAGCGAGTATTGACCGTTCATGGGGAAAATCTCAGGCGAGGGAAAGTACCGAATGTACCCCGCATGGTACATCCATGCCATTCTTCACGGTGTAGCAGAGTCGAAACGGCGTACCTTGGATCGGCCGTACGGGTTCAGCGTCTGCAGCTCGTCATTCTCCGTGCAGGGTACCTGCTTCGGCTGGCCGTACACCGTGGCTGATGAAGAGAAAACGATCTGCGAAAGTCGGGATGAGAGGATGGTTGAGGGAGGAAAACAAATCAGCGGGGATGTTGTTCTTGAGAACAACCTTCAGCAAACTAAGCGTGGCATTGTTCCTACAACACTGTTACCGAGGCGTCTTAGAAGGCGTACCTTCTTACAGCCGTGGTCGCTCATGACTTCCAGCAGGTTGAGCGTGCCGGTGACGTTGTTCTGGTAGTACTTGAGCGGGAACTTAACGCTCTCCCCCACGGCCTTGAGCCCCGCGAAGTGAATCACAGCGTCGAAACTGCAAGAGCAACACTGCGAGTCAGTAAGTGCGACTTAGTTGCATACTCGCATCCGGCTCTTTCCCGCATTGAAAATGCAAGCGTACCATTGCAAGTGAATCATCGTTGAGTGTGCAACACGCAAGCGAGAAATTCTAGGGATCGAGCTCAGAGACTGCTGCTATCTTATTTAACATAATATCCCGAGACCTAGACAACACGGTGAGCCTCGACCGACCGAACTGAACTCCATCGACCGAGTAATTACGTACTGAAGGGTCAATGTGAAAGTCACTGGGTAAAGTACTGGAAAATTGCATCCGGGAAAGACGTTTCTACTCTCAATGCTTGCCTTATTCAAATTTAGCGTCTGCCTTCTGCACTTACTGAATTTGATTGAAAAGCTCTTCAAGTACCTCCTTGTCCAGTAAGTCAACCTGCATACATTTCAACCAGCAAGATTATTCCAGCGTGACTTAACTCTGGGGATGTTTGAAGTTTGCACAAATCGGTAGATTGTACCTTTGCACCAGATTTCAGGCCAGTATCAGAACCGCATCTTGTCAAACGTGTATGTGGGTACTTCTTACGTAAAATACTTTGGACTGACCTTGAAGAATTGCAAGTTCCTGCCATTCTCGCCTGCGAGCTCCGCCACTCTCTTCACGGCTTGCTCCGATGAGTTGTCCAGATTGTCTACCACAACCACCCTGAGGACGACACGTGGCAAAAAAAAATGGAGAAACTACGTTAAACACCTTGTAGCCACGAATATCAATGACGAGCGTGTCCCAGCGAACTCGCAGAAGAACGTATCAAGAGGAGCCAAAGACAGGCTGTATAGAAGCTAAGGAATTGGTCGACGAAGAACAAATAGGAAAGAGGGGGGTGGAGGGTGGGAGATAGGAGGGCGGCCGTCGACTAGGGACTGTTACCTGTAGCCCTCCTGTAGCAGCTGGACGCATGTATGGCTACCGATGTACCCTGCTCCTCCAGTTACTAGAATAGTCGCCTCTGCTGCTGGTCGGCCATTGGCCAGCCACGTGTTGCAAACTCTAAGTAACTGAGGTTCCGGGCTATTGTTCGCCATGTGCTCGCAACTGGCTAGATTAATGGCTGGGATTGTGACCGAGCTAGCCTACGATAGCCTGATCAGACGCCAGAGACAATTCGTTGACTGCTAACAGAAGTAGCTATCCAAACGCCTGGAAAGTGCACGATCCGTTGGAAATAATACACGGTAAACTACGAATTATGCCTATGAACTAAGCTTCTGACTGAACAGATGGAGGTATCACTGCGGAATTACGACCTGTCAAAATCAGAGACCACGTGTCAACAAGGCGACAATAACTAGGCAAGTCTTTTGCAGACACGATGCAATTGATGGATAACGCGTCTTTAGGCGACAAAAGAGCGCCCTGGCTACCACGGGTGAACGTCTATGGCTCCTGCAAACGGATAAAGGGCTCCGACCAGCACGAGCGTCACTTTCAAGGCAGTTCCTCTTTCGCTTGTCGCCTCCAAGCCGCCTTCTTTCTCTCTGTCGAGTCCTACCTAGACTGGTCTCACGTGTTCGTGGCGGCTGCTTGTTCTATTCGCTGGTTGCAAGCCGAAATGAGCTTCTCTAGGTAGACTCTCTTCCCTCCCCCTGTCCCTTGCCTGCCTACCTGCTTTTGGGATGACTACGACTACTACACACGCATACACAAACACACTAGCAGACACATCTCGGAAATGGATGTGACCACCTCTCATCGGTTTCGTGACCTGTGTGCTGATCGGACGGTTGATCTGCTGTTCCGCTTGTTCAGATTGCGCACAACGAAAACAGCGGACGGTTTGGATTTCCTCCGGGGTTGTCTCTGACATTTCGATGCGCGTTCTGATCTCTGCTGGCGCGTTCCGTCTCTGTAATGTGATGCAGGCGACACCCTGCGAGACACGGAGAGAGTGTCGCAACACCCTCCTGGAACTTCGCAACCCGAGCGAACAGGATCGCACGGCAACGTGCTGCGATCAGGGGCTGCAAATCTCGCCACGAGCCGCGCTCCGTGAAGGAAGGAGGTGGATGAAAGCTCAACCGCATTCCCGACCCTGATTGTGGAGACGTGCTGCAGGGAATGTCAACCACTTATTTTCCGCCACGCCAGATGAGGGAGGAGGGTCACAAGCACCACGCTTGTTGAGTGCTGGACCCACCACCCTGCCCAATTGGTGGGGTGGGGGTCCACGGGAAGAGAGATTAGACGCTTCGCGTCGCGTCTGATGTGGAAAGACACCTTCCGATTCCCCTTATCAACAGTGCGGAATCTCCAGAAGTTTTGTAATATGTACATTCTGGACCTTTCTGTTACGAAATGCATATTGTGCTGGTAGGTTTGTGCCGGCATTTATGACTGGTCGAAAAAAGGCCATGACGGGATAAATCCGGTACAAAATAGTCTCTGTCCAAAATAAATTAATGCTGACAGTTTTTTTATTATGGATGATTGAGGGGTTGATTCAGCCATGAAGTGCCTCGTTTTGGATCATTGGCTAAAGGTGCCCATACCAATAATGACGTGGGTTATGAGGGTTGTTATCTGTAACGGGGATCATAGGGCGAGGATGTCTTCACCCACAATGCCTCTTTGCCGTGTGAAGCGTGTCTAGCTGCTCGCTTCACCTCACCGTCATCTTTCCAAACCACACCAAACCATACAAAACCCAATCGCACCATACCACGCACCTGCAACCTATTGCTCTACTCCTTGTTCCAACAGGGAATGACGGTTCAAACAGGTATGTTTTGTTCGGATCAGAAAGATTCGTTCGTAAACACAGGCAGTGCAGAGTTTGCGGGTGGTTGGTGAGCCGAGCTGCTTTTTACAGATGCGAAACGAGCCTTTCCGCGGCCTAGGAGTTGCGTGCTGCTACTGGTTCTATCACAGTACAGATCACCCTACAAGTTGCTTGGTAGAATAAGAGGTTCAGCTTGCTAGGCCTCACATGCCGCGCAGGAGAAACAGATTATTGTTGCTTGCGCTCCGTGAGTCGTGAAACTTGGCGAGGGAATGTCTAATCAATCCTTGGATCGTTATGAATCTTAATATCCTTAGCCTGGCAATTGTACAGACGAGCCATTTGCTTGATAATAAGAGCCGAAAGTAGTAGCAGGAGCATGCTGAGCCTGCAAGAGTTAGATGAATTCCACTTGGGTGGCTTGTAAATCGTCTCTAGATGGAGGTTAGCACTCAACTCTAAAACTACGCAGCAGTAGGTACACGCGATATCTTCTTAAACCGCTGCTCTGTGCCATCGTGTTGAACCTTTCAGAATCTCTCGAGTGGTTTTCATAGGATTAATTTCAGATAGTTGCGAAGTGGTAGCGAGGCGTTTTAGATTGCGAAGTCACTAAGACCGCTTGACGACGCCACGTCAGCATGAGCTTTCAGGACATCGGCCGGTCGTCGGGCCCTGCCGGTGGGGGTATGAACGGAGTCGGTCGGCCGACTTCCGGGCCGTCAGGTCAGACGGTTCCGTCAAGTCAGGCGGTGGCGTCAGGCGTGTTCCAGATGAACACGGCAGTGGGGACGTTCAAGCGGCTTGTCAACACGCTGGGTACCGCTAAGGACACCGTCGAACTCCGTGAGAAGCTGTACGGCGAGATTATCATGTTTTGATTGCGAAGATCCAGGATTAATATCTTTTTTTTTTTTCCTTTATTTATTTAATATCTTTGTAGTCGTGCTGTCAGCACACTGAGTAGGACGAAGAGCGCTGTTGAACTCCGTGAGAAGCTGTACCGGCACCCTCGTGCCGTTAGGGTTTCGTCTGTCGTCATCATGTGGCTTTTGGGACCGGAATATGTTGCTCTTACCAGAGAGACTTCTATTGCGTCTTTTCGTTTCGTTTTGTTGGTGCTGTGGCGTCCTGTTCGTCTCTATGATCGGTTCTCCGCATCACCCACCGTGATCCTCCGTGCCGTCCGTCAATCGTCCCTCCACCCTCCGTCAACCCTCCGTCAACGGCAGGCACAAGTCGCGGCAGTACATCAGCCATCTGGCCAAGGACACGGCGCAGAAGCTGAAAGATGCCTCTGCGCGCGACCACTCAGCTGGCGTCAGCGTGAGTGCCATTTCCTCCGTACCCCACCTCCCCCTCTTTCTTCCCCCTCCCCCCTTCCCTCACCTCTCCTTCCTCCTAGCGCCCCACGCTTTCCCGCCTCCCTGTCCCCCTTCCTCCTCCTAGCCCTCGTACCGCCCAATCTTTTTCCGTGCGGCCACCCCGTTGGTGTCACTTTGCGTGCCATCTCCCCTTCCCTCGCCTCTCGCCCCACACACCCGCCCTTTACCCCCACGCTTCCCTCCCTCCCCGCTCCTCCCGTCTTCCTTCCTCATCATCTACACAGGCGACACAAAAGATTAGCGATGCAAAGCTAGCCAAGGACTTTCAAGCTGTGCTGCGCGAGTTTGAGCGCGCGCAGCACCTCGCGGCGGAGCGGGAGGCCGCCTTCGCGCCCTTTGAGAGCTCCCGCCGCGGGGGAAACGCGCAGATGGCTGGAGCGGGGGTGGGAGGGGCGCCGTCCGTGGCGTCTTTGGGGTCTTCTGGAGGGTCTTCAGGCAGTGGGAGGGGGAAGAGGTGCGTGAGAGGAGTTAGGTTGCTTTTCTTAGAGGAGAGGGTGTATATGATGGTGGGAGAGGGAAGAGGTGCGAGTTTGAGCGCGCGCAGCACCTCGCGGCGGAGCGGGAGGCCGCCTTCGCTCCCTTTGAGAGCTCCCGCCGCGGGGAGCAACGCGCAGATGCCCGCAGGGGGAGTGGGAGTGGGTGGGGCGGGGGCGGGAGGGGCCCCGTCGGTGGCTTTGTTGGGGTCTTCAAGCGGTGGGAGAGGGAAGAGGTGCGTGAGGCGGGCGAGTTGGGTATGTGCGGTGCCGTTTCTCATTGGAAAGGGTGCAAGGGTGGTGGGGGAGGGAGGGAGGAGCTGTGGAAACGAATTAGACGGGCCTGTTTCCCTCCCATTTCCCTCCGCAGAGCCGCAGGCAGTGTGAGGGGGGATGGTTGCGAGGATGCGCGCATTCATGCTCTTCCGTTTTCCTGTACCCCTGCTCTTTCTCCCTTACCCCCTCCCTGGCACTTTCGCCTGTCCCCCCTTACATTTCCGTCTGTATCACCCCTCTCTCTCGCATGTCCTCAGGTGGACAGGTAGTATGGGCTTGTCTAATTTCGGAGGGGCGCAGTTAGCGGAGCAGGCGGACAGGGAGGAGCAGAGAGACGCGCTGCTAGCGCAGCAGAGGTGAGAGCAGGGTGGGTGGGTGAGTGTAAGATTGTTTCTAGCAGGGGTGCAGGCAGTAGGGGCTTGCCAATTTCAGAGGAGCAGGAGGGGCGCAGTTAGCGGAGCAGGCGGACAGGGAGGAGCAGAGAGACTCGCTGCTAGCACAGCAGAGGTGAGAACTATTTTGTTTTGAGACGTCGCAACACAAAGCTATCAGCACGTGGCAAGCAGTGTGGGCTTGATTTATTTCAAAACGGGACGGGGTGGGGGGGTGGGGGGGTTTGTTTGCAGAGAAGGCAGACAGGGAGAAGCACAGTGACCTGCTGCTGGCGCACCAGAGGTGAGAGCAGGGCGTGTGGCGTGGGTGAGTGTGAGAGGGCATCGTGTGTTGGAAAGTTCTCTTTCATTCTTCTTCATCCCGTCCTACCCCCTCACTCACTCCCACACAACCCCAACACACTCACGCATCCCCACCCACACCCCTACTCACCCCCCCACACAATCCGTCAAACCCCCCTACGCATTCCACAGGACCCCACACACCGCCACATTCCTACACAAAGTCAGCACCCACTCACACCCGTCCACACCGACCCATGCTGTTTCGCCCATTGCATTTTCTGTGTTGCAGACACGAGATGGCAGTGGTGGAAGGCGAGTTGGCTTATAACGAGGCGGTGATAGAGGAGCGGGAGCAGGGCATTCAGGAGATTCAGCAGCAGATAGTGGAGGTGAACGAGATATTCCAAGACCTGGCTGTGCTGGTCAGGGAGCAAGGAGGCATGATCGGTGAGTCACGAAAGCCAGGCTTGTAATGAGTGGGCTTATATTGAGTGG